ACTGTATGTTTTATTGTCTCAATGCTGTGGAATTTCAGTGACACCACGTGGATGGGCTTCAATACCTTTCATTTTGGTTCTGAGTGCGCCATGAAGTTTCACACTGATTATAAAAGCGAGACTGATACTCCCACTTGGAATATATATTAGGATTTATACCGAAACGAAATAATAGCAATATATTACATATGTTGTACTTACAAACAGGCCGATACCTATGACAAGAATGAAATAACCAACGATGACGCCAATGTCAGCTGCAGTCAGACGGGAGTCGATGAAAGCCGCCATTTTCCCAGTTTATGAAAACCAGGTTCAGACCCTACCTGAAGTTCCAATTAGCTGTCCCGATGATTGGCGCTGAAAATAAAGTAATTACGGTAGCAGTATATCATATATGGTGGTTTTCTTGTTCAGAAGCTTGCTGAAAAACACGAGCTGTTGGTTGTCCTATCACAGGTTGACAGAGGCAGAAACGTCTGACGTGGTGTAGCCTCGGGGAAGACCGCATCTTGAGGACATGGCGTAAGTTTCATCGGTTTGATGAATGTCGCTATCTTCTACTATACACGATGTCGAAGTCGTAACGGTAACGTCTTAACGAGGTATGTGTGGTCCTGTGCATAGTAGTGTTGGGAATTGGTTGAAATCTCATAATTGATGATTGGTTTATTACAACCGATCAATCATCGAAAAAAATTGGTTAGCGTCATTAATGAAATTTGTTAATGCACATAATAATAAGAAAAAAACATGTAGTTCTTTGGGGTTTTTTAGGCAAAATTTCACATCTTTAAAGGATGACTAGTATGTCAGGAACATAAATTTCTTGGAGTCTTTAAGATAAATTCAATCATGACTTGAAAACGAGCTTGTAGTGCCTATGAAATGTAACAGACAAAACCAACCTTGTGAAAAATATTGCTTATGAAAACAAGTGTTCCAGAATTGTTTGTGTTCGATTATGAGAAAACATGATCGATTGCTTGGTCGTTTAGTCACTGCGACCAATCTTCGATTATTTCAATTAATCGGACCACCACTAGTGCATAGACCGCAGGTCACAAATCAGGCGACGTTTAGCAACGTTGGGCGCGGAGAGTCCTTGGATGGGTGACCGTGTTTGGCAGCTTGACTCCAGAGAGTTGTTAGGATTACTGTCCTTGCCCCCACCCCCTAACCCCCTTTCCCAGTACTAATAGAAAAAATGTAGTCAAAATGATTGGCCTTCAATGGAAATGAATGATAGCAATACCACATTTTCTACTTACTTTCGGAGAGTCCAGCGTTGGGCGGGGTTCTCTCAAAACCAAATACTCATATACAGTGAAGTCATGTCCACGATAAACGTTGTCGGAATACGTCAAACCACTGGCTGCCTGGCACAGTTGTACTGGTATAACGGTAACGAATAATTGATGCTGGACGAAATGTATGCAACTTAGTCCGCATCAGCGCATAAAGGTATCAACGCACGATTACAACATGTCCTTAGGGTGTCTCTGCGGTTATCCCGTGCGTGAGTGAGTGAGTGAGTTTAGTTTTATGCGCGAACCCGGGTCTTCGGAGTGACGAGCGAGCGTTCTAACCGTCCCGTCCCAAGAGTCGATTGAACGCTTCCGACTAGGTCATGACTATATTTATGTAACAATATTAAATCATCTATCACGAGAAAGTGAGGGTATCCTGCCCTACCTGTGACACCTGTCACAAACACATATAAAGGCAAGTTATTATACACGTAAAACAAGGCTCGACCACCTTACGTTGCCGGAACCGATATTAATCAGGGGTCAGAGTCGCTTGAGTTGATATATGTTTTCCCTATGCATTGCTAGCAGTCAGAATGTCAGATGTTTTTTTAAGGTTTACTGATGAGGTTTGAATGTCGCTCACTGACGTAATCGCTTCCGATTTTTGTATTTGTTTGTTGTTTAACGCCGCACTCAGCAATATCCCAGCGGTATTGAGCGGTCTGTAAATAATCGGGTCTGGACCAGACAATCCAGTGAGCTACATCATGAGCATTGATCTACGCAATTGGGATACGATACATGCGTCAACCAAGTCAGCGAGCCTGACCACCCGATCCTGATAGTCGCCTCTCACAACAAACATGGGTTGCTGAAGACCAATTCAAACCCGAATCTTCTCGGAATTACTTTCTAATCACACATCCACCGATTACACGAAATGTGTGACGTCACACTTCATGTGAGTGAGTGAGTGGGTGAAAGAGTGAGTTAAAAGTCACATCCTCAGTATTTCAGCAAAGCCTTGCCTCGAAAGGTTTGGCATACATAATACAATCAAACTTGTTGTTTTTAAATCCAGTCATCAAAAGACTGTGAAAAAACTAGACTATCATATATGTTGTTTAAAACTAGTATGTAGCCATAACAATATATATTATAATATTTAAAAATACAATATAAAATTGAGCTATAGATCGCCAGCAACTAAAGTGAAATCACCTTACTTGGGATCATGGACCCGAGAAAGATTTACTTTGATGATAATCTCCAGTTGCCAGATAAAAGGGATGATGTAAATTTAGACAAACTTAACTCAACAAAAATTCTACGATTAAACCCTGGCAATGATAAACATATACACCCTAAATAATGTGGTCTTACGTGCCTTCTCCGGAAGCCAGTTAATTTACACCTATTCAACACCTTTTGTCGATTTATTCATTCGACCAAATAACTTATAACTAAGTCAAGTCGGCCCAACCAACTCTCTGACAAAAAGGCTGCATTCTCTACTTTTTTTCAAGTATCTATGTCACGTGTGTTGTAATCGAATACAATCATATAATGTTGGAAAATGTTTACACGGCACTCCGAACGAAAGACAGAGTTGTCTCCCTTGGAAATCGTCGCGTGACCAAATATCGATCGTTACAGACGGCGCACTTCAATTTGATGCACCGTTTTCTTAAACCTATCGCTGCATTTGGTTTTGATTCGTCACTATACTATTCAAAACTCAATAGAGTATCGGTTTTATAATGTGGTACAACAACTTGAAACAATTATAGGATTATTGCATTACTTGTCAACAATATGCCTGTGACATGCAAATTACATGAACTCATTTCTACAACTTCTCCACCGCAGGGGATGTAAGTATTGGCGGTGATGGAACAGACGTGAGGTCCGGAGAGGATGGGCAAATCTTTCCATATCCGACTATAACCCCATCCTCGTTCACTTGACCTTTTTTATTCTGTATACATTTTCAGGCCTGTGTTGGTTGCTTGACTTTCAGCAAATGTAACGAATGATGTCGGCAAACATGAATGTTTCATATTTGGACATGCAGGTTTGTGAATACGAAACACGTCTCCAAACAACGACAGTAATTTACGAAGTCGCCACAGATACATAAATGTTGTTATTTCCAATAATTATTTATATCGTTTACTCCGTTCGTGTTTTCACGGAGGTGGCCATTAATACAACTGAAATAAACTATTTCCAGTCATTTGCAGCATTCGTGTTATTACGAATTTAGTAATTAACACAATTGAAATAAACTATTTCCAGATAATGTGCAGCCTTCGTGTTTTCATTGCTTGCATGTCTCAGTATTGTTTTACGCCACTCTAAGCTATATCCCAGCTGCACTAAGACACGGGGGACGATAGTCCGTTTGGCTCAAAATCGGACCGATGAAATGCAATCTAACTCGAAACATTGATCATATTCAAACCATCATACCAACTCTGTGATGTTTTTTTGCAGAATTTATGTCCTAAAATTAAAAAGTTTTTTAACAAAACATCATTAAAATGTTGACACAGTTCACTGTTTGTTACGAGGGAGGGGTGCAAAGAGAGGAACAGCCAGGTGTGCAAGAAAGGATGGAGACGGCACAGCACAGGTTAATAATTCAATAACGTTTCATTGAATACTATTTGTTTAGTAGTTTTCGAGTTAGATTGCAATTCATCGGTCCGATTTTAAGCCAAACGGACTATGGTGAATAGAACTTGGCTGCACAGACAAGATTATCTCCCTAATCCTGCATGTATGGCTGAGGTTTTGTATTCTCGAGAGCAGTAACTATTTTGTAATCATTTCAGTAATAGGTGTATGGAATTCCAAGCTTGTCATACAGTTGCCTTCATATAAGGAACACGTGAGGATCCGTGATAGCATTGGCCTTCAGTAACCCATGCTTGTCGTAAGAGGCGACTAACGGGTTCGGGTGGTCAGGCTTCTCTGACTTGGTTGACTCATGGCATCGGTTCCCAATTGCGTAGATAGATGCTCATACTGTTGATCTCCGGATTGTCTGGTCCAGACTCGATTATTTACAGATCGCCGCCATATAGCGGGAATATTGCTGAGCGCGGCGTAAAACTAAACTCAATCACTAAAATCAGCCAGATGATTCTGAGATTTAGAACCCATTCTACTGGATTCTTGACCCATACTTTTCGTAAGAGGCGACTAACGGGATCGGGGAGTCAGGCTCGCTGACTTGGTTGACACATGTCATCGTATCCTAATTGCGTCGATCGATGCTCAAGCTGTTGATCACTGGATTGTCTGGTCCAGACTCGATTATTTACAGACCCCCTGTCACATACCTGGAATATTGCCTGTAACGAACAAAGGTAAGGTGGTTTATGGATCACACAGTTGGAACTGAACATTATTTTCACTTCCCAATTTTAATGAAGCGAAAATAGGCTTTTGATTTTTCATCAATGAATTCCACAGTGTAAGGGAGGTAACCTGAAATCATGTATGTATCATTCAAATGTGCAAGCAAAACTGTTTGTATATTGTATCTTGCAAACTGACCTTAAATGCTCCATAAACAAGTGATTAGTCAAAGTAGAGACAAAACCTATAATTAACCCTGCAAGTTTGATGTGGTCTGTTTTACGTTCACTGTGGGGTCTGTCACTATTTCCGCAATCCACCGACCATTTGAAAGGATCCGACATGCGATAGTGGCTTCTTCTAAAAATAGCTCTCAAAGCGAATCTATGTATTTCCGCATGCAGCTATTTATAGCCTCACGTCATCAGCGAACAACATTGGGACAGTTGACACTATCGGATTGAGGTACGTTGTTTGATTGGGACCAAGGTTAATAACAGCACAATTTAATTCCTAATAATATTTTATACATTTATGAATGATTATATATCTTCTGTAGCTATCACGTCTCTGCTTTTGACTCTGTGCGAGACATCCTGCATCATCAGGCTTCACCATAACTTGTTTCCTCATCGGCCTTGTTGTTTAACATTTGCCCTTGTTGCTCAGTCCTGTAGATTATATTTTGCCCTTTTTGCACAGGCGACAGGGTGTATTGTTTCCTTGACTGGCAATACCCCAATCTGAACGCTATCAGTCACGAAATACTTTGGGAATCGCAGAAGTGGGCGTAAAATCCTTCATGATCCGGATCATAGTTTCAAAATAATTAATTTATATATTCTTATTTGTTTATTTTTAATTCATTTTTTAATTTATCTAGGTTTTTCTTTACTATGTAGTTATTTTTATATTTCATTTTATTTCTTGGTTGTTATTTATTTATTTATTTTTGTTTTGGTGGGGTGGGGTGGGGGTGGGTGGTGTAGCTGGTGATTCCACAGGCTCATGTTATATGCATTTCAATTCACTTTGGTTTGTAAGGTTATTTGTACATTGCGTTCATTTGTGTTATTAAAGTGCAAGCTGAACACAAAAACTGTTGTAAATATGTGTTAAAGGTGATGCTTGGATTTCCCTATTGTTCGCGGGTTGTTTTTTTCAGTACCCCTTATAACTTAATGTCGCAATAAGCACGCAAGATTCTTTTCTAAACGTTAATTACAATGAAAGCTTTTTTCAATCATACACACTGCACTTGCTTATCATGTTGCAGCTGTACATGTCTCTCATTTACAACAGTAATATAATACAGTATGTTCGTCGGTGTACGGGTTGTGCGGGGTCCTGATTGGTCCACCGGAGAGAGTGATGGAGGTGAAGGTCACGTGGGAACTGTTGTGGCACAAGATGGCGCTGGTCGTGTTGACGTCATATGGGACGGTGGTCAGAGAACGACGTGCAGAGCTGGGAAAGATGGCAAACATGATCTGAGAATCCTGGATACTGGAAGCATAGGTGAGGGTCTATTTCTGTCTCTGCGTGTACGTTCAGTCGTGCGTGTGTGTACGCCGCGTTATGTCATGTGATGCCGGCCAGACAAACAAATGACCGATGACGTGCCGTCCCACACCATCCAGCTACGATGACGCACGATCAACCAAGTCACTTTGCCTTATGGGGCGGTGGGGTAGCCTAGTGGTTAAAGCGTTCGCTAGACACGCCGAACACCCGGGTTCCATTACCCACATGGGTACAATGTGTGAAGCCCATTTCTGGTGTCCCCCTCCGTGATATTGCTGGAATATTACTAAAAACGGCGTAAAACTAAACTCACTCACTAAGCCTAATAACTGGGGCTGGCTAAAAGGATCGATAATCGGATTGACATGAAATAATATTAATGATTATCGGTATGAAAATAGTGTCACTAAATATATCGTAAATAAACTCTTGTGCTAGAATAAAGTTTAAAGATCCTCAATCAATACCCAAATTTAGGTTTTTGTTCATAGACTGCTTCTAAATTATGTTCAGGGCGCTGTTTCGTTAGTTATCCATGCTAGTTGGGGCCTGTGCTCTCCAGGAATCACGACAAGTGAATGAAGATTTTCAGTTCAGGAAACAGTGACGCCTGAGGCATTGTTGGTTGTGATTACTGCCCTTTGCATTGTTTCAACCATTTCCTTCCACTTCGGGAAATCCTGGTCCGAGGACAGAAACGAAACCAAGAGGTGGGACGGGCGGCCCAGTCGCGTAAGGCGTGCATTTGTTGAGGAGAGTTGCGTCCCTTTGGCACGCCTAATAGCTTTGACCTCGGGTTCGAATCCCGGTTCGCCAGGGTTTCTCAGTCTATCAACACTTTACCCGTGCTCGTAGGTTTCACTGAAGCGGTAAACATTGGACCAGTATCACTGTCGATTTTCTTCCCATATCAATCTTCTAAACCCTTATGTAGTAAGCGAGTTTAGTTTTACGCCGCATTTAGTAATATTTCAGCAATATCACGGCGGGGTGGGGCACACTAGAAATGGGTTTCACTTATTGTACCCAAGTGGGAACCCCATATAGGCCTTTGGCATGACGAGCAAACACTTTAACCACTAGGCTACCCCGCCACCCCACATTCTGATGTGACAAAGCTCTCAGTCAAAGCCACGAAGATAACGATATGAATGATATAACGAGGCGAATATCAAACATGGTTACACTGATTATCATGAACCTGGGGTATTACGACAGTGATAACCCATACATATCTACTATATACATATTATAACGTCAGTGGACCCTCCCCTTATTGTAATCTGACCTTTCCAATGTGTATATAGAGAATACTAAACGATGTCCCCTGTAATACCATATTTATGAAACGAATGAATGGTTTGGTATCTAACGAGCGAAAGCAACACCCAACATTAGCAAAATAATATCCAGCAAAGCACTTCTTTCCTAAGAATTCAACGACTGACAAGGTCTAATACTCTTGTGACAGATGTGTTAGCATTGTGACGTCATAACTGTATATCACTTTGACGTCATACGTACGGCATCACGCGATGTGTAATAACATTATTAAACAGTGGTATCTTCAACGGATGAGTGATAAACACTAATATACAAACCTTAAGTCACAATTCTAACAGATACCTTACAGCTTCATTAATGAATGAGTACATTTACTTGTGTTATGTATGTGGCAATGGTCGTATCTATAAAGGCGTTATCTGACTTTCTCTGGACCTTCTCTGGTGCGTTTTTATTGCCCATGTTTGTTCATGTGAATGGCTGACTAGGGGCGGTTGGGCCTGGCGGTTACCTTCCATTTTGTTTCATGTCCAGCACTGAACGAAACGAAAGTAATTATGGTTTTAAAGTACGAATCTATGATATTTCATACTGACATGACGCTTCTTGAGAGTTGATTGTTTAGTTTACTGTTCGCAATGATAATGCTTGTCGAATGCTTTTTTACTCAGCAAATAATGAGTATCCAGCTATTTCTTTTTTACACCCGTGAAGATCCGTGTGAGAAGTGGCTTCAGTAACCCATGCTTGTCATAAGAGGCGAGTAACGGGATCGGGTGGTCAGGCTCGCTGCCTTTTTGACACATGTATCCCAATTGCGTAGATCGATACTCATGATGTTGATCACTGGATTGTCTGGTCCAGACTCGATTATCTACAGACTGGAATATAGCTGGAATATTGCTGAGGGGGACGTTAAACAACAAACCAAACCACTCACACACGCACTCACTCACGCACGCACACACTCACTCACTCGAACACGGACATGTGTCATTTACTTTCATTGCCAAGTTTTTGCATGTAGAATAACGGATTTTCAGGAATACGCCACGAGGGTTTCACGTGTGAGGGCTGTGAGACAACGGACTTCTACGGCACGAGGTGGACGTGTAAACAATGCACCTCGACCAGTCTGTGTTCTACGTGTTACTCCGCGGACATTCACGACACCAGTCACGTGTTCTTGCGCCATGATATGCCAGGGGATTCCGGGTATGTGGAATGTCTTCGCTTGATAGTAATTGCAAATTAGCATATTCTTGCACTGTTGTTTGGTTTAGCGGAATAGTAGCAATCCATGATGATCAAACGATGGTTTAGACTCACTACCATTTTACCTCATTTGTCCGTCATCAGTCAAAGCATCCTTCCCCATGAATCGCTTGTCAAATGAAGCTGAAACTTGTCATAATATTTCCACCAAACAGGTTCGCCTTTTGAAGAGGTTAGAATCAGACGATGTGTGGTTAGTTGTGGGATTCACGGATGTGTTTCTCTTTATTGATATTATATTTTTACCTTTTCAATACGATTTTAATTTATCTCAAAATGCAATGGCAGCATCTTACAAGCAACCACTTGATTCTTCCAACCAATGATGACATCTTGTTTCTGGATTTATGGAATATATGTTTATACAAGAGTTCCATTACAGAAAAGTTAATACCAGCAGGCACATCAACGTTGTTTCAACGTTGAGAATAGGTTGATCCTCAACGTTGAAAATAGATTGAAAATAGGTTGTATATGAAAGTTTTTTTGACGTAGATATCCGACGTGGAATCAACGTTGAAGTTTGACCGATTATCAACGTTGAAAAAGGTTGATCCTCAACGTTGAAAATAGATTGAAAATAGGTTGTATATGAAAGTTTTTTTGACGTAGATATCCGACGTGGAATCAACGTTGAAGTTTGACCGATTATCAACGTTGAGAATAGGTTGATCCTCAACGTTGAAAATAGATTGAAAATAGGTTGTATATGAAAGTTTTTTTGACGTAGATATCCGACGTGGAATCAATGTTGAAGTCTGACATATTATTAACGTTGAAAATGGGTTGTTCCGTGGTTGTGTCTGGGAGGTTTTACGCTTTCCTGTAAATAGACTCGCATTTCATCTTTAAACTACAATAAAGTAGCACCAAACTCCTGCATCCAGCTAAAATACCCAAAAAGCTACCTGCAATAAACAGTGTTCAAACAGAAAATTGCAGTAAAAATATTTACCTGATAAAATACTTGGTTACAATTCCACATTCAATATAATGTTCATTTAAGTTTTATGTCAGTTGGACGTATAATTCCAGTAAGAAGAAAAGAGTATTCCAAATTAAGAAAACTATTTACTGTTGTATTGTTACTTTGAAAAGGTGAAAATTGTCCCGAGAAGACATTTTGTCTGAATTTCAGCTCTTAGACAGACCCCTGAATAAACACAATGCAATTACTTTCACCATGAAAGGGATCCAAGATGACCAGGAACTATACCTGGAGACAGCACATAAAACAAGTCACTTTTCATGAAATCTTTATGAACACACACGCACACAGAAAACGTGGTTTAATGCATAATGTAAAACATCACACATGACATAGTCTGTAGGTGATCTCTGTTGTGCTAATAACACAATATCATCTGCATATAGCATCAAAGTGACATTTACGCCACCAATTTCAATACCACAGTTCAGATTTTTCAACACAATTACAACTCCAAAAACACAATTATCAGCTCCTCTTCTTCTGCCACTCCTGCCTGGCGGTCAGGTGGATACTTCAAAAACGTTCTTAACTCTTTCTTGAAATTTGCTTCGGATGCATTCCCATCTCATTCCCTTGAGATAGGACACATTCTGAAATTTTATATTTAAATACATGAATAAGTTATATGGAAGATATATTGTCTTAAATGATTCAAGTATTTGTTTAATCAATCACTTGAAAGGTTCATTTCACTGCTGTAACTTGGCATGTGAACATATGAACAGCATCAATACAAAATATGACGAAAAGTGTAAACAGTTTATATTTTCAACCAAAGGAATGGAAGTTTTCGTAAACATTTTCAAAGAAAATCCTCATTTGCAAGTTGATTATTTAATTAGACTATGAATTACCGGTAGGATGAATTAGACGATGCTTTACTGTCATATATTATTTGCTATGGTCATGATGAAAATGCTGCACTTGGTAATTAACTTACCAGAGATGATTGAATACAACCTTGTATTCTTAAAAGAAAACTTGCCGTTTTGCCCATCAACATTCATTCTTGACATCAAATTGTTTGACATTGTCCTGCAAAACAATGGAAGATTGTTGTTATTCTGTCAGATTTAGTTTTCTTTAGAGATTCTCGGAAATGATTATTTCAAATTAATAGGAGTTGAACTGATGTAGCAATTTTGCTACCAGGAGTCATAAATTGTAACAAAAGCCATTTTACATTAAATGACAAGAAAACAAAATGGGTGGTGGTTCACAGGTCAAAGAACAAGTCTATTGTGGGAGGTCTCCCAACACCATTTGTTCCCAAACACAAGGAAGTATGGATCATGGAGTTCTGAAAACAATAATGAGCTCTCATAAGTATACAATATATTCTCAAGTATCTACTCTCTTCTCTTGTCATTTGTACACTCATAAAACTCAGATAAATAACTTTTTATAATTCATAAATGTTTACACTTAATCTCTTATACGAACGCTTAGAAAATCTCTCATATAATGAATTATGTGTGCGTATTATCTGCGACGTCATAACTATGCTTCTCTGAATCATGAACAATAAAATAATGAGATTAAACTCTACATTGCCAGAAATAATCTATCATACCATGAATAATAAGACATTGAATAACATCTCTTACAACTCCAATCTACACTCAAAAAGACTTAAATGTACTCGTAAACAAACATCGCTTGCTAACGCAAATTGTTGGAAACAGTGCATCTCTGACTCAATTCCAAGAAATGGAAGTCCTACTGTATTTGACCAAAGGGGTGACAGGTGGCCAAAACATATTGAAATGTAGGTCATTCACTGAAAATAACTCTGATTTAAAACACTACAAATATACACCGTCTCTCTAATATACTCGATAGATGATCTTAACAGGGGAACATGTACATAAAATGCTGATATCTAACAACACCTGTACTTTAAATAATGGACTCTTCCAAATCTCAGTATGTTTCACTGCACACATATTAGATTGCAAATAATGAAAAACCTACCCTTAGACAATAATAAAAAACATCATATTCAAATTCTACAGCTGACCAAATACCTGAAGAGTGTGTTTCCCAGCAATAAACATCTCTATATATATCTATAAATGTATGACTTCTGTCCTCTCGCGTGCTATCTTGCATCCAGCTGTTTACGGCGAAAAACAATATGGCGCCAAGCAAGGGAGTGCTCATTAAACTAAACATCTCCGGGAGAAATCATTGTCAATTTTTTCTCTTAAATGATCAACCTTAATATATAAATGAAAATAAAGACCAACTATTATCACCAAAAAAAGACCAAACATTATCACAAATATTCAAAACAGGTGGTAATGAAAGAGCATTATCATCTTTCTCTTAAACTTTGTGGTGGATATACTGGAAACAAGTGAAATGTTAAAAACGTGTTACCTTAGCCTTGCTCCTTTTATGTGATCCACAAAATTGCTGCCACCCAGTGTTCGAAGATGAGATTTCTGCAAATTCCATTAAAATAATCTTATTTCATAATTAAATGTTCCTTACATTAAAATTACTTCTTTTGTATGTAAGATTGTAACCTTTAAGAGACATGAATTATCATATCCCATCCAAACAAGTGTAAGAATGAAAGTCTGTGGGTGCAGTTTTGTTAATTGTCCCATCAAAGAATCATTAGTGAAGTTACACTTTATGTAAATAAATAAAAGTTCAAATAAATTATATACAATTTCATCCTTAACAAAGACTTTCACAAGACATTTTAAAGTGAAAATTTTCGTTGCATTTCCTTACGCCATTCTCCACGACCCCCTCCCCCCCAATAATATACATATGTTGATAGGGTTCAGGGCGTGCTCAATGCATCATTTACTGATAGATCTATTCAAACGAACAAATGTTCATAATAATGGGATGCAATATAAAATGTTGATTAAACCTATCCGATTTTGTATAGCTGCCCTTAGGGACCGTTCATAATGTATGGCTTTGGGGTGATGTTGATTTTTATGTACAATGTGAATTACACCACCCCCCCTAAAAGTGTATGAGTATGTACAGAATAAGAGACGGCCCACCCTGCATGTCATGTACATTATCTATGACGCCCTCTCCCCTTCCCATAATTTCTAAACATAGTGCGTGTGTACAAAAATGCTGACCCCTTAGCTCCCTGAACAAAATGGTGACACCCACCCCACCCCACCCCACCCTCCAACCCTTACAATCAACACCCCCACCCGCAGCCATATATTTAATTATGAACGGTTCCTTATATTGATGTACTTCATTGATTATTTGAAAATGTATGTTTGCAAAATTCAAATCAGGTGATGGGTACGAAAGGAAATCTTATTCGATTATATAATAAAATGCCAAATATATGCATGCAAATATATTGAAAATAACAAAACAAACTTTTGAGAAACATGTACTGTGACATACCGGTAACCTTGTGAGATAAAACATGAGCCCTAATTCGGAGTTTCTTGCTACTGCTAGATTTAAACGGCATTCCTACGTTTTCATTATACATGAAGGACATACTTACCAAATAAACACCAGCATGCCGTGAAGATGGTGAAAATAGAACGATATTGCGTTGAACTTCGCCAAGGTGAACTGACAACGATCAGCTGCCTTTGCGCGCGCGATAATTGTGCGCATGTCCGGATATGGCCAAACGAGGCGATCGAAAGGTCAACATCTGGCTTGTGTTTGAAAGCAAATTGTCGGGAATTATACAATTTTCACAGTTTTGTGGGAAAATATCAAATGTAATGCAATTTGGATAACTGATGACTTTATACCTAAAACTGCGATTTACGTAATATTTCCGTCCGTTGATCGATGCACAATCAAATAATATATAAGATTATATCTGTCACTAGCTCGATCTTGATCTTTTATGAAAATAATGTTCCGAAATGATAGTTGCTAAGGTGGATACCTATTACCAATATGAATTATGTATCAAATTTGCCAAGGAAACAATTAGTTGACATTTTGTTGGTTCCTTACGTTGAAACAACGTTGACAACTAAACGAATCTCGACTAACTTTCTTTGGTCGCATGATAAACGTTGAATCAACGTTTATGAAAGGTTGATCAACCAAACAACCAAAATTCAACGTTGATTCAACGTTGATTCAACGTTGATTCAACGTTGTGTGCCCGCTGGGTAGTCAACACTTTAAATATATAAATAGTCAACACTTTAAATATATTTTATTTGTAAAATGCAAAATTCTTGAAGAGAAGATGGCACCATTGGTTGTAAGAATCATTTGAAGTTTCAGCGAGCATTGTGGTTAAAGCGTACGCTCGTCACACCGAAGACCCGGGTTCAAGTTCGCACATGGGTAATGTGTGAAGCCCATTTCTGGTGTCCCCCGACGTCATATTGCTGGAATATTGCTAAAAGCGGCGTAAAACTAAACTCAATCACACATCATTGTCCAATGACCATTTCATCATTCTCTTGCCTCATACTTTCTTTGGAATGTTTCGGCAGAGATTCTGCGTAAATATCAAAATTTAGATATTTAGAATTTCAGCAAATATATTATGTAATACTGCATAAACTGATACTGTGTTGATTGTATTGATCTCCTATTTGTTGTTAACGTTTCAGAGTTGAAGTCAAGAAAAGAACGAGCTGCCTCATGTTGCGTTCTCTCGGGCTCTACCCTGGGGCAAGGGTTGTGAGGGGAGAGGATTGGAGCTGGGACAAGCAAGACGGTACGCCAGTCACACAATGAACCATGTCCCAATCCATTCGATCAACAAAACATCACCAAACTGATCACTGTCTTTTGGAGTTAGTGTCTTCACAGAAACGTTGCACTCGTCTTGGTTAAGGAGTCATAGAGTTATCTCCCTTATTCATCATACCAACTCTGACATAACTCTTCATGTTAAAGTGGAACAAACAAAAGGGGACACATATTATTCAATGCCGACTTAGTAACTATTTATGTTAAATAAATAAAAATAAATTAATTTAAAAAATAGCATTAATCGGGCGCTATCAGATCAGCAGTCATGGACAAATGGTCGTTATGTACGCGAACACAGTAAATAATTATAAACTACACAACATTTACACATTTACACTGCAGGGGCCAGTACAGCTTTATGAGAAAGGGGATGGAGGTTGCACAGTTCAGGAAAGGTGGGGTGCACAGTTAATCTTCGCCCGTTTTCTCGAGAGTTTCTTTAGTCACTTAATAAACTTACAGAGGGGTGGGTGGGGTGCGCATAAACTTACAGAGGGTGCGGTGGGGGTGCGCACATCTGTGCGCACACACACACACACACACACACACACGCACACACAGACAGAATCCGACGATGTACTGGCGCTATCAGATCAGCAGTTATGTTAAGGCAAGTGATTCCTACTTTAATGCCTTTTTGTCTGGGGTAAACATGTACTGTTAACTAATATCAAACGGTTTTTTTCCTTAAAGGCGGCAGTGGAAGCAAAGGTACGATCACTGAGATGCACGACGAGCCAAAGGCAGGCACGACCGGTAGTACAGTGAGGGTGAAGTGGGACGTGGGTCCCTCCAATCTGTACCGGGTGGGGCATAAGGGCAAGGTGGACCTCAAGTACGTAGAAGAAGCTCCGTGGATGTACTACTTCAGGGATAACTTACCTGTCCTAGGTGAGATATTGTCTCTATATAGATTTATAGAAAGCTAATCACGCGGAAGTGATTCCGGAAAAGACGACCAAACATTATTTTTGGTGGAGTGCTAGTGTCACTAATTTCGTTATTGATACACGGTATTTAATTGCAATATTCTAGCAATATCACGGCGGGGAACGCCAGAAATGGGCTTCACACATTGTACCCTTGTGAGGAATCGAACCCTGGTCTTCGGCGTGACGAGCGAATGCTAAATACTCACTAGGCTACCCCACCGCCCCAATATAGGGAGAAAAAACTCTATCCATTCAATTTACTATCATGATGTATTTCTTGTCCTGTAAATGTTCTCCTTAATTCTACGCATTTGAAGTAAACCCTGCATGTAACAATCAATCTAAATGTAACATTTTGCTACACGTGAGACCATTCATCGAGACGGAGGGCGGTGGGGTAATCTAGTGGTTAAAGCGTTCGCTTGACACGCCGAAGACCCAGGTTCGATTCCCTACATGGATACGATGTGTAAAGCCTATTTTTGGTGTCCCCCTCCGTGATATTGCTGGAATATTGCGACAAGCGGTGTAAAACTAAACTCACTCAGTCATAGTCACGGTGTACAGAAGCTTAGGAAACCTTGAACACATAACACTGAAAACCATAATGTATTTTATTTGTTTACGGTTATAGATGCTAAGAAGACATTTACAAATATCCTAAGTCTACGTAAAAACGGTTTTGCTCAGATAATTAGCAACTGGCATATTGTCCAAAGTCTTTTCACTTGTCCTTGGGATTTTTTTAAACCAGAGAAGGTGTAGTTAACCGCTAGGTAATTACATCAGTTGTATGACGTGACAATGCGAACAAGTCGTAAGAGTTCGGTATTGTTCTTTTCTATGTTTAAGCAGTGATCGCTTGTCATCATAAATGTGTATACACATTATTAATATTATAAGTATTGTCGTGGATTATACTATATCGTAGCAAATCCTATATAGATTCATTAAAATAATGCAATGATTTAGATGTGATGGGCGGAAAGAGTACACATCCTGTTGTCAGCTCGGAGTTTGACGTTGGGTGTAAAGTGTGTCTACAGTTGGACCGAGATGGGCTGAGACGCGTGCAGGCTGACAAGGGTGGTTGGACAGCAAGCATGTCCGAGGTATGTTGACTGTGGGCAGATTGGAGAGGTCGGAATACTGTGGCGAAGAAATAAATACAAGGACAAGAATTAGCTGCAGTAGTAGTAGTAGTAGTAGTAGTAGTAGTAGTAGTAGTAGTCAGTGGATGATCCAGAGGGGGTTCCACACACACACACACACACACAACCCCTTTGAAAATGACTAAAGACCACATTGAAGCTAATGGTTTGCAATGGGGGTTCGAACGTCCGAACACCTCCTCCTCTTCCCCCGATCCGCCTAAGGTAGTAGTAGTACCACTGACAGTCGCAATGGTAAGATTGTGTTTTATGACGTACTAAGCTAAGGGTATACATTTTTCATAGTTGTTATTGAGAAAATCTTTGTTTTCTAATACTGATAATTAAATTTCTAAAATAGGTGTTGCATTATGTAGTAAAGTACTAAATATGGGAGGCAATTCTTGTAGGCTTAAGAATGAACCTTACTACACCAAGAGTTATCTCCCCTGGAGTAGCAGCCGGCTTCCTTTGTTGACATGGCAGATATGACAGCAGAAGAGAAAAGAAAGCTGGTTCTAGATGATTTTGAAAGGGGTGTGACTAATGCAAAAAGAGTAAGATGGTAGACATGGCATTCCTTTGTCTACAGTATACAGAACTTACAGAAGAATGTTCAGTCAGGAGTTGGGATTGAGCACAAGACAGGGGCAGGCAGGCCAAGGAAGTTCAGTACTACGGATCGCCGACGTTTAAACTGGTGCAGAGCTCACGAAAATGAAGATCGGGATAATATTTTCTGGCGTTTCCGAATTGTGTGAAAATTTGGACAAAAGATTCCCTGAAACCTATCTACCAACGCCCAAAACATAGCCCGAAATTTCACATGTTGGGTGGGATATCATCACGTGGAGTGACGCCGTTGTGTATTTTCACTAGAAATTTGTCGAAGGAACGATATGTTGTCCATGACATCTTAAATGGTCACCTTCTTCCAACGGCCCGAACACTGTATGAAGATAATTGGATTGTTCAGCATGATAACGACCCAAAACACACATAAACAGTGGTTGTTGGACGAAAATGTTCAAGTTTTATACTGGCCGAGCTACAGCCCAGATCTTAACCTTATTGAGAATGTGTGGGGACTAATGAAGGACAGAATAAACCAAAATGGAAATATTGAGGATATGAAGAAAGAAGTGGTCGAATATTGGGATACGCTGTCACACGATTTCCTACAAAGGTTGATGGGTAGTGTACGGCACATTCAGTCGTGTATTGCAGGGCAATGAGATCTCACAAAGTACTGAAAAGACACTTAGATTCATATCTCAACATATTCATTTAAATAAAACCACTATAGTTTAAATACATGTATTAGATATTTGCCGGAACAATTTTCTCAATAATAATATATATATATATATATATATGTCCATGTTTGTTAATTATTTTCAACTGTAACATTTATTTTTTTGATGTATTTGTAAAAGAGTGAATATGTATTGTGTATCATGTACTTGCCTAGTTGATTCTAGTAATAGGAGCTGTAGGGTGGCCTAGTGGTTAAAGCATTCGCTCGACTTTGATTTCCGGGTACGATTTCCCACAATCGTATAATTTTTTATAGCCCATTTCTGGTTTTCCAAGCCTTAATATTACTGGAATATTGCTTAAGGCGGCGTAAAACTAAACTCACTCATTCTTATTTCAGTGCGAAGGAAAGATCGGAAGAGTTGCAGATTTCCCCAGTGATGGGTTAGCGACTGTTGTGTTTGATAACAGTAGATACAGATTTGCCACCGAAGCCCTCTTGAAGGTATTCGTTAGACACAAATCGTATTATCTTGCCTCTCACATAAATGTCGTTTTCTGATTGGCTGAGCGCTCTTATATTATTTTCAATTTACCCCGCTTACAAGAGAGTAACTTTTTCTATGTACCCCGCTGGGAATGCCGAACTCATTTGGTACTTAGTAGTGGTAATTCTTTATCTCGAATAGCATTGAATCACGTAATGATGTACGGAAATTACCGATGTTTTGCGAATGCAAATCGAAGGAAGGGAGATAATTGTTTTTCTTGTCCTCTGGCATTCGTGACCAACTCGTGTTATTCCGGGACAAGCCGAATAGCAACTCGTGCCCCTCTGGAAGGATTTCATATTGGCGTAGGAACATCAAAACTACTTCAAACAGGAACGATAACTCTATTCCTGTTTGATTCCAATGGTACTTAATATCACCGAAGTACTCATACATTGTATTGCTGTTTTTGTTTTTGCTATTTATTCTAAAGAATTAAACCTCCTTGGTACAACTAAAAGAAAGAAAAAAACACATATTTGTTAAAGACATATTCTGACGTAATTATTACCAGATATGCACCTTATATTTCCAATTATATTTCTGAAAAGGGTTTAATAATAACAAATGGGATTTGTTTTATTGAATATGCAAATAAAATTTGTAAAAGAAACCCCGCTACATTAAATCCCAAAGCAGAAACTAAAAAAATGACTTTTAAAATATTTATCAAACTGAACATACGTGTAACCTTGCTGTCATACCACAAGTGGACTTTTAACTGAATTCGCTGAAAAATATATGAATGACCACAAGAAGGTCAGACTAAAATATTCCCAGAGAATTGAAATATATGCCCAATGTTAAAGATTAAAGTTGATTAGGTACATACAGATATAATATTATTGTTTTAAAGCTCGTAGCGATTTATAATTACATTTCCTAAAATTGTTTGAAGCGCACGTACAATCTCCATAGCAAGCCCGCAAGATCGTCAGAAACACCCTCAGTTGGACCCATGAGAGCCGTTATGTCAACAAACGCACGTGCGTGTATTTGAATCTCTCGCCGTCAATCGCATGATTCTTATCAAAACACCATAATAGGCAGCAAAATCCTGTTAGCTAAGTTCTTTGTACTTTCAATATGACGATATATATTTTTCATGACTTTTTAAACAATGACATAATGCCATAAACGATTTAAGTACTCGGGATTATTTTTACCAAAGCACCGCAGTCATTTACGCGCGTTCTGATTGGTTTGTCGTATATTCGCACATAACAAGCATCGAGAGGGGGACGAGTCTTCTTGCGGGTTACGGAAAGGGGCGAGTGGTGACGAATCGTCCTCTGGTACTCCATACTATGATCCAATACCCGTGCTTCAAACAGTTCAAAATTACCATTGAGGTGTTCAGTAAGATAAATACGTTGTTCACTGGTCCCTCTTGTGACCAGTGAACAACTTATAATATAAAGCTGCACATATTATTTATGGAGCTAGGGGTGGTGGGGGTAGCCAGTGGTTAAAGCATTTACCAAACACCCAGTTCGTTTCCCCACATGGGATATAATGTGTGAAGCTCATTTTTGGTGTCCCCCGCCGTGATATTGCTGGAATATTGCTAAAAGCGGCGTATAACTAAACTCACTCACTCATTTATGCGCTCATCACTTTTTATATTTAATGTTATATTTAATGCTTAACGGTTAAGTACAAGAAACGTGCAGATGGAAACTAGTAAAATTCACACTTCTTTTCTACAGTTGCTATGATTATGTCATATGGATCAAAACTCGGGTCAAAGTCCAGCGACGTCTGGCAATAATCGTTAAAGGGAAAAGGAAAACAGAAAGATATATGAATTTGCTTCAAAATACAGTCTAACTGATTCAGTCTTTGTCCACGAGCTCCAAGTAATAACGCCATTTGTTCACTCGTTTGATATGTGGTTTCATATTTCGTCATGTACTTTTCTGGTGTTCCTCCTGGGCATAGGTGTACGACCACAGCAAAGGAGACGTGGTCCGGATCCTGGATGACAAGGAGAAGGTGAAGATGCTTCAGGATAAACATGGAGGATGGAATCCCAATATGGAAAAGGTAGGCAAACCAATAACTGAAAGTGAAATTTGTTTCTTTGAATTTCCACCCGTGAAGATCCGGGTAAGAATTGATCTTCAGTAACCCATGCTTGTCGTAAGAGGCGACTAAAGGGATCGGGTGGTCAGGCTCGCTGGCTTGGTTGGCACATGTCATCGTATCCCAATTCCATAGATCGATGCTCATGCTGTTGATCACTGGATTGTCTGGTCCAGACTCGATTATTTACAGACCGCCGCCACATAGGAGGAATATTGCTGAGTGCGGCGTAAAACTAAACTCATTCACCTATTCTTTGAATTTCAGCTATAAGGTTGTAAGTCAACCTTTTTTGACAGTTGTGTCCCAGGCGATTTGAGTAACTTGTACGGACATGATACTGATGAACTATGATCTATGAATCTATGATTCGAACTCACGATCATCAATACAAGATATGATTCCACTGCTTCATACATAGATGATTTAGACACGTGTGCTCTCCAATAATTATTAATTATGCAAAATACACTCCTGTCCCCTAGACGCCGCGATTTATACTACCCATCAAACGTTTAGACTCACTTAAAGCACTCACTCTATGTTATGTATATATATGTGGTTACATCAAAGATGAATTTCTCCACTAACTTGCGGGAACCAACTGCAAACCTTATGCAGATGAACTGCATGAGGATCAGGCCTCATATTTCTGAAATGCATGTGCAAATATCGTGCATTTGAACTGCTGTGTTTTGGTGTAAAAAATTTATTAAGTATTCGCCAATTTTCACTGAGTTTCATCATTTATTGAACTCATGATAATAATCTTTTCGACGTTACGAATTTGTGTTAGAATACATCAGTTCATGTTTAGACAGTACCTTTAAACATTAAGGAATATTTCGCAAAATCTAGTTTAGAGCAGTTGACTAAAGTAAGTGGCTACATTTACACTAGTGAGTCTAAATTTTTGATGGGTAGTATACTTTGCAGAGTTGTGCACTATGGACATGCCAGAAAAACTCAATCGTATGTTCTAATCGTGGTTCGACCTGATTTTGTTTCTAAGTTTGTCAGCTCCGTATCTCTGTTTGTGGATTTAACTAAAGTAAGAAGATCTGAAACTTCGGGATTTTCTCATACATCAATCTGAAACGCTGAAGACCCGGGTTCGATTCCCCACATGGGTACAATGTCTGAAGCCCATTTCTAGTGTCTCCTGCCGTGATATTGCTGGAATATTGCTAAAAGCGGCGTAAACTAAATGCACTCACTACTTAGAGTAGATGAGTAACAAGACATAACTTGTACCATTTACTATATTAATTCATTCTTGGTGGTACAGATTGATACAAAATGTTTATGACATAATCGTTACAGAAGACACTTTAATAGAAGTGGCGGTATTTTCAGTCCTTGGGAAAAGTTGGCCGGGTGAAGGGCGTGGACCGCGAAGGGGATGTGATAGTGGTGTTCGGGTCAAGGAAGTGGTATTTCAACCCTGCCTGCTGTGTACCTGCTGTAGGGATGACTGTGGAGAGCCTGGAAGATAGTGATGACGATGAAGGTAAACCTATGGATCTATGTTCACTAAACGCCAAAAGAAACGTTACACTCCTTCCTTAATGACGGAGGTACCTATCGGTTCTGGTTTCTGATGCGTGGATGTCCACTTCTTGGTCTGGCTATGGTGACTCCAGTCTGTCTGAAGCCCTGAATAAGTCTTACAACCGTGATACGGTGGCATCCGAGGGTGTCGATCCCATCTGCACCATCCCATGGCTCTTACTCTCTCTTCAGTTGTTAATCGTGGCATATTACTCGTACTTGTGTATCATATAATGTATTCTAGGCTCTCTTCATACCCTATAGAATCATTCTACATGTAAAATGGATGCAAATACTGCTTGAATATTGCTGCGTTTTGGCGATTGATATTGCTGTGTGTAAACAGAAAATGAAAAGATGTTACTTTTCAAGCAAAAATGTTAACAAAGATTATTTTAGATGTCCCTAAACATTTTTTCACAACATCAAAGACACGTTTTACTTGTTATCACTAATGCAAGTCAGCAGAAAATGTTTTAATAGACTGAAATCATACTTATGATTCTTTTACAATTTTACACACTCTACTGAGTTGTTTCTTGTTTTCATAGTAGAAAACTTGTGACTTTAAATGGTTTATCAACCTTTCTTTTGGACATCAAATTCACTGTTTTTGGTTATTTCGGCATGGACGAAAATAGGACAATTTAACTCTTCTGAAAAAGATGCATTTCAACTCTTCTGAAAAAGATGCATTTCACCTAAATATGAATGCATTTGAGAAATTATTTTCCGTGATTTGCATAAACGCGTGATTTGCATGATTCTATCATATCTTTCTTAGTTTTTCGGTACTTCATAAAGGTAGGAGGGTAACGTTTCTTTTGGCGTCTAGTGTATACACTTTGATTCCAAAGTAATTGAACGGCATTTAGAAGTGATACACGCAAAGACGAGAATTTATGGACGTCAACTTCTTTATTTTGGTTGTGACTGTACTCTAAATAAGTTGACATTCATAAATATTCACCTTTACTTTGAGTAAATGTAACCAAGTCAATTCCATAGCCACAGGAAACATCTCAGCTTTGTCGAATCCGACTGCATCATGAACATGTATGTCCAGTACAATCAGCGAGGGGCGGTGTGCATCACGCCAAAGAACCGGGTTCGATTTCCCACATGGGTTCAATGTATGAAGCCCCTTTCTGGTGTCCCCCACCATGATATTGCTGTCCAATACTGCTAAAACCGTCGTAAAACTAAAACTCACTCACTCTTATACTCACTCACTCACAGAAATTTAAATGCATTACGCAAATATGACAACGGCTACACATTCGCTTTGGGAATAAAACAATTTTATTTTGAGACATTACAATTGATGAAAGTGGCAAGTAAGTTACTTTATTTTCAGGTCCGTTTTCAGCGACGGGGCTAATGGGAGGTTTGCTTGAAAATCTGAAAGAAAGTTTTGCAATGTTCGGGGACACATCGTTAGCGGGGTTATTATCTGCAGAGGAGACAGGAGGTGTGACAAAGGCCATCATTAAAGGGGACGTCGACACAGTGAAAGCCATGATAGAGTCGAACCCACAGATGGTGAGTGCTTGATGTTAAGAAACTGACGTAGAAATGAAAGTACACACCTGGTGTTTTGGGATTATTTGAAAAGTGTTATAATTTTGACTGGCATCTTCGCAATTGGGCACGATATATCTGTGGTGTTTTGGCAACATATTAGGAAAGTCTGTGACTTATATAATTATCACTGTAAAAACTCATTTCAAAACATTTACGTCGCATTTTGGAAAGTAATCCAAAAGCACCGGGTGTCTACTTTCTTTTGTACGTCAGTTTATGTGTGGAATCCCCATAGGGCATTGGGCGCCGTCAGAGGGCGTGAGGGCTCGGAGGCTTTGTGACTGGTTCTTTTGCTGAGACGCTGCCTTTTTCTGTATTCCAGCTATTTTTAAAGCATGTCAGCCTAATGCGTGAGCAAAACTCCGAAATAAGGCAGGCACAGGCGTTGTGATTGTCTGGTCCAGACTCGATTATTTACAGATCGCAGCCATACAGTTGGAGTGCGGCGTAAAACTAAACTGACTCTCTCTCTCAGTCACTTTGTGAAATTCACGAGTACGGGCATTGTGCTGACCAGTCATGAATAGAATCGGGATTCCAACCCATAGTCATAGGTTTCTGGTGTGCTCAGGGGACGCAACTCTGTTCCTGACATTGCGGCTTCCATTACGACTGGGCTACCCATGGCCTCGTACTTGCCGATTTCATTCCACTTTGCCCTGATCACGTTGATGGTTGCTCATATGCCAACTTGCAATATGCGAGACGGGGCCCAGCTTACTCCCGGTACCAGATTTCCTGTGACAAGCGTAAATTCAAGAACCAGTTCTGGTTCGAAATTGCGCGACTGCCAAATATTACTTTACTAGACCGGACCAAGTGTACAACCATGATTGACTGTCCCAGCTGTTGACAGTCGTAATCAGTGTGCGAAATCGCCAATGGCCCGCTAGCCCGTGGCAAGTAAAAATCCAGTCGGGCCAGTAAATCTCCACAGTCACTGGTCCGACTGGCTAGTGAATTTTCATAGGGTCATTTTGTAAACATATAACACTCTCCGACTTGTTAAGTTATAATATACTTTTTAATCATGCAAGATTATGGCTTGATAAAAAAGTTCATCTTATTAGCAGCTTAATGATGAAACCTGTGTCATGCCCACTCTATATTATTCTCATCTATTTTTGTAATCTTTGGTTTAGTTTCTACATTCACATTTCGGGCTTGTGAATGATTTTGTGGGCTAGTAAATTTCAGGCATAGCTTGCCCGACTGGCTAGCAAAATTTGGAAACTATTTCGCACACTGGTGGGGATTTGGGGATGGGTAGATCGGATATGTGTAATTCCTGCAATGATTATCGGTTCCTTACTGTCAACCATGAGACCATTCGAAAGGAATGGAAGTGCCAAATAACGTAAGTTCTCGCGAAGTGGTGTGACCTACTTACGGGACCTATACTATAGCTAAAATACATGGAATTATCATGAAACGGCCCTCCCATCATCAGAAATTTGCGGTCCGCTGCCAATGATATTGGACCGCTCAACCTTAACGACGGGCCACTATCAGTGCTGTTGTCAAGTGACGTCATAGTGGGTGCGTGGGCTTACGGTTCATTCGACATTGGCTTTCGACTGGCAGCTATTCTGGGTCAAACAAGTCAAAGCAACCCGAATTCCCGCTTTAAATATAGCGGTAATATTGGCTTTCTTGTTGGTGCCAACCTTAACAATGCACTATTATTAAGGCTGTTGATGGACCAAAACCGAACACTGACATAGTTTGACATGTTGCAGGCTTTGGTCTTGTCGAATATCGTCACTTTCTGTTGTGACGTCACTTGAATTGTTCGATAACGTAATTGCATTCGGGCAGTCAACCACGTCAGAAGTTGATTTGGGTAAACATACAGTCAAATTCCTTCATTGTTTCCTTTTTCTTTTCAACACAAATTCCATGTATTTCAGCAATAATAAGGGTAATGCTATTTTTGAGGGCATTATCATTTGCAGAAGCCCTCGGTAATAGCATTACCCTTATATTATGTCTGATTCCAAGCGGACGGTCATAAAACTAATGCATGTTATACATAACAATGGACCCCCAGTTGCTCTTCAATCGGTAAAGGCAACGTCGGTATATTATTATGCCGCTGAAAGAATTTTGTTATTGTGTTCTTCAAATAAATATCCTGTATTCAGATTTCGAAAAGTTCACGAAATAACGTACCGAATGGTAATTAGTAGTGACTAGTGACATCGCGATAGTATTTTTTTTAAAATTTTCTCAGGTCGTCTTAGATATTGATTGCCTACAGTGACTGAGCATGCGTGCATGCGTATGCGTGTGTGCGTGCGTGTGTGTGTGTGTGTGTGTGTGTGTGTGTGTGTGTGTGATGTATTGAGTGTTTTTTACCTCTAAGTGGGAATTGAAGACCAAGGACATATTTTCGATATGAAAATGCTGCCGGCTAATATTAATACTCTTTTAACTTAGTTTCTGGAATTTATCCTTGTTTCTCTTACTATACAGTTGTCACAACACTTCGGAATGCAGAAACTGACGCCATTGATGAGGGCATGTCATGTAGGCAACATGGAGATAGTACACTTCCTGCTGGACAGGGGAGCTGACCTTGAGAGCAAAGGTCATAAGGGAATCACAGCCCTGTCTGCAGCAATTATTGGGTGAGATTATCATACCAGCTGTTTGAGGGATGCTGACATGGAAACGTGTGTCTGTTGTCAAACATCGGGACATTAATAGCAACATAAAAAAGACAGTGATTCTCATACAATACATGCGAGAGTTTGGTTCAAAGAACCTCGTGGTCTTGGCGCATGTCTAAATACATTATCAAATAAGATATTTTTGCGAATTGTTCCATGTGCAAACAGCTAGGTAATGTGCCGCATTATTTACTGCTTTGCCAAGAATATGTAAATCATCGTAAGAGGATGGTGGAATGTCTTAAGCTCTCAATACGTACATTTCATTGGCTGGACTATTATGTTCAAGAAATAGCGTTCGCCATGAAGTTCAGATAGTAAATCTTTCTACTATTAAAGCGTGTGGCAGCTTTGCTACTTTATGAAATTTTAGAAACCTAGCAAACCTTTATGATGGGCAAAATGTAAATGGGACAAGGTTTCCGAACACCTGTAAACCTTTTAATGATCAATCATCAATCATGTGACTCTGCCTCAGCTCCATGTTCCATTCTCGCAACAATGTGTCTCTATGTTTGTTTGGTCGTCAATTCCAGGAAGAGGGAACACACAGCGAAGGTACTGCTCGAGAAGGGCGCCAACATCCATCACAGGCACCACAACGGGCAGACAACTCTTCATCTTGCGGTACACAACAACCTCCCCAACATCATCAAAGTGCTCATCCAGAAGGGCGTGGACGTCAATGCTACGGTAGCTATTCCACAGGCAGTTCCTGAAGCAGAAAGTTTACATCTTTCGCATGAAACAGTAGACCACTAAGTGTAAACCACAATGTAATACATTTATTTTAGTTTGTTCCATTCATAATCATATTATGGGGGCGGTGGGGTAGCCTGGTGGTCAAAGGGTTCATTCGTGAGGCCGAAGACCCGGGTTTGATTCCCCTCCTGGGTACAACGTGTGAGGCCCATTTGCGGTGTCCCCCGCCGTGATATTGCTGGAATATTGCTAAAAGCGGCATAAAACCCAACTCACTCACTCATTTATTATATCAAGCGCAAGAGACAAACAAACATACATGTCATCATTTAAATGGCTTAAACAGTCTTTCAGGCTTTCAACTTGTCAATATTTAAACTTTATGGTACGTGTAAAACGATTGACGTGTGGCATATGGAACTCTTTTCAGGACAAGGCGGGAGACACCCCTCTTCATGATGCTATCGGCATACAAAAGGATGAATGCGCGAAGATTCTTATTGAATGTCCACACGTCAATCTCAGGCTCTGTAACCGCAATGACTTCAACGCCCTGCACTTCGCCTGCTTAAGGGGCAGTGTACCGTTAGTATGCGACAGCATATTAGTTTTATATATTAAACTATATGAGGATTGGATCAAAAGCAGGATGTGGAGATAAACTTTGTCAGGATTTGAATATTGAATGACAAAAAAGTGAATTTGATGTTCTGGGAATTATATTTAATGCTGAACTGAAGGATCTATGGATCATCAATACAATTAAAAAAAACTAGAGGAAATTAATTAATTAGTGGCGGTGTGGAGAAAAGGATATTTAACACAAATTAGCAAAATTACTGTTATCAAGACACCACCTATTTCAAATGTTTTTCATATTTTCAATACTTTACTAAACCCACCCCAAGAATTTATTACTTCCCTTGAAAACATACTTTTTCAGTTTTATTTGGACTGACAAAAATGACAAATGAAGAGAAGTACTTTGAAAATAGATTACAAACATGGGGGATTAAGAATGATCGACATAAAAACGTTTAGCATTGCCTTGACATTATCTACTATGATCCTTGTTTACCATAACGTCTCAAATGCATACCTACATTTCAGTTCCGTGGAGAAGATACTTGAGAGAGACACATCATTTGTGAACGACCAGATGTCGGACAAAACCTTTGCTGCTCTCCACATCGCCGCTAACAACGACCACGTTGAATGTTGCAGACTGCTCATTGAAAAAGTACCCAGTTTTTGTATTTCATAGTGGCACGGGGCGGTGGGGTAGCCTAATGGTTAAAGGGTCCGCTCATCACGGTGCAGACCCTGGTTTGATGCTCCACATGGGTACCATTGTGTGAAGCCCATTTCTGGTGTCCCCCCCAGATGCTGGAATATTGCTCAAAGTGGCGTAAAACCCTACTCACTCACTGACTCACTCATAGTGGCACGTCAGTGTAACATGAGCCACCTATCCGAGATGACGAAGTTGAAGGTCGTCCTGACGCTGATGATATTCCATATAAATTTATACTTATCTTCACGTGGGATTTTCTTTCCCAACTAACACTATATGAAAATATATTTGTGGTGGTAAAGCAAGAGATACGCACACCTTTCGCAAACAACTGATCACTTTCTGAGTTTCTGTCATTACGTATTGTACGACCCATGAAGATCCGTATTAGAATTGATCTTCAGTAACCCATGCTTGTCGTAAGAGGCGACTAACGGGATCGGATGGTCAGGCTTGCTGACTTGGTTGACACATGTCATCGTATCCCAATTGCGTGGAACGATGCTCATGCTGTTGATCACTGGATTGTTTGGTCCAGACTCATTTATTAACAGACCGCCGCGTATTTATTAACAGACCGCCCCCATATAGCTGGAATACGATTACGACAAGCATGTGTTGCTGAAGACCTATTCTAACCCGGATCTTCACGGATCTGTAGCATTTGGAGTAAATACTGTCTTGGGTTATTGTTTTTAGTTACTAGTTTTAAATGGATATCTGTGATACACTAGTAGTTTTACTGTTCTTCGTCAACAATTTTGAAATTTCTAAATTTATTGATCTTTAATATAATGATAAATTGTTCTGGTCACGGTATGGCTGAAGTATTGCCGATGTGACGTTAAATATAAACTCACTTACTCACTCACTAAACTCACTCACTCACTCACTCACTCACTCGGGTTATTTTAATAGGGGAAGGCCGAAGTTGATCGGAAGGGTCCTCAGGGGGCCACTCCTCTTTATGTCGCCGCTGGTACTTCTCAATACAGATCAGTGGAACTACTTCTCCAGAAAGGTAAGATACCTTGCAGCCTAAAGTTAAGGATTTCCTCAGCTGTCGGTCTTTAAATGCTTGTGAAGCTTGATTCAGGTTTTCATTTGATATTTTTATTTGACCTCAGGAGCTGATCCCAACTTCGAAAATGACAACGGTAACAGACCGCTCCACGGTTTGTGTAAGGTATGGTGCATTCGATCTTCGAAACATAGTTCCGGAAGTACACAAGTGACCAGTGTCACTCTTTATGTCTATGGAACTCTAATTAGAAAATAGTGGGCTCGAAATGTATGTACGTTAAGACAATTACCGAACAATCAGAAGAATACAATTATCAGAACATAATTTGGAAAAAACAATTTTAATAAATCATTGGAAAGACTTCCGCCCGTATCCTCCCTTTTAATTTCATTCTAGTCACATCATATCACCTGAATAAATATTTCTCATCTAATAAGGATGAGTTTTAACCTGCATGTTTCTTTAATTGTATCATACTGAAACACGTATCCAACTTCTAAAAATGCCACTCAAAGAAATGTTTCTTCATCGTTAAAATTTAGGAGGGATACGGGCGGAGCGGAAGTCTTACCAAATTGTTATGTGGAGTAATATGACACTGTGATGTATTTAATTATTATATTGCATGAAATATGCTCTGGTTTGTGTCTGTATATCATTGTGAACGTTCCTCTGTGCACAAAGGTGTACAAGCAAATGTGGGGACGGTGGGGTAGCCTAGTGGTTAAAACGCCCCTCGTCACGCCGAAGACCCGGGTTCAATTCCCCACATGGTACAATGTTTGAAGCCCATTTCTGGTGTCCCCCGCCGTGATATTGCTGGACTATTGCTAAAAGCGACGTAAAACTAAACTCACTCACCCTTTTATATTTCGTGAAATGAAACACAAAGGTTATGAAAGACTATATTGCTACATGCACGTACATTCCATGTGTGTATAGGATAGATCAACAACAGGATCAGAACCAAAATGTAATGTAACTGTTTTACATTTATCGAAGTAATGAGTTTATATCGAAGTCCAGGACCTTTTATCAACACTGTAAATCTTCAATGTGAAATATGTATTAGGGAGACGGCGACCACAAGTGGTGCACTTGTGCCTAATCCCTTTGTCCTTTGGACAATCAGATATGTTTTAAACAATATAAACATAAACATGTATCGCTTTGCACTTTACAAGGGCCGCGGGTCGCGTCGAGAAGTAAGCAAGGTGGTCGACGTTGCACGACTACTTCTACAGGAAGGTGCCGCCTACAAAGCCAGAAACAAGCACGGATCCGCCGCTCTTGATAGGTGTTCTCGTGAAGCTGAGAAGTCAGCGATTCGGAAATTCATCGACGAAAAGTATGTGTTTGATGTTTTATATCCCATTTGGGATTTATTGACAGAGAAGATCAAAAGTCATTGGGCGGCTTTTAGAATGGCAAGAAGTGTCAGTCAATAATGCTTGTCATATGATAAAACATTCATTAATGCTTCACGCATGATGACATAAAAAGTAATGCTTGATGCATGAAGACATAATCAATAAAGCGTGATGCAGGAAGACATTATCAGTAATGCTTGATGCATGACGACATGCTCAATAATGCTTGATGAATGAAGACATAATCAATAATGCTTGATGTATGAAGGCATTCAATAATGCTTGATGCATGAATAAATAATCAATAAAGATTGATGCATGACGACATAAACAGTAATGCTTGATGCATGACATAATCAATAATGCTTGATGCATGACGACATAATCAATAATGCTTGATGCATGAAGACATAATAAATAATGCTTGATGTATGAAGGCATTCACTAATGCTTGATTCATGACGACATTCAATAATGCTTGATGCATGAAGGCATAATCAATACTGCTTGATGCACGAAGACATAATCAATTATGCTTGATGCATGACGACATAAACAGCAATGCTTGATGATATAAACAGTAATGTTTGATGCATGAAGGCATAATCAGTAATGCTTGGTGCATGACGACATAAACAGCAATGCTTGATGCATGAAGACAATCAGTTATGCTTGATGTATGAAGACACATTCAATAATGTTTGAGGCATACAGACACAATTATTAATGATGCACGTATGACGATATAGTCAATAATGCTTGATACATGAAGACATATTCAGTAATGCTTGATGCATGATCACACAGTCTGTAATGCTTGATGCATGATCACACAGTCTATAATGTTTGACGCACGACGCCTTTTACATTTGCGCATGTTGTATGCTGCAAGGGGAAGATCATTTTGGCAGTTTAATTTCCTCAGCCATATGGTTGAGAAAATACGCGTTAGTAAAACTATAGATCATGAATGACACAACATGGTTGGTGTGGTCAGGTGGACTGGTTCAGCTTTCTGCCAATTTGTAATTTCGGCATCATCATCAGAAACCCTTAATCTGTTTATGATTCTTCAAATGCACTCAAACGGAAACCTTTGGCGCTGAGCTCGATTTTTTTTATGTCTCAGTTTAACGCCTCACTCAGCAATATTCCAGAACAGGACTGATAGACCATGAACATTCACATATTGGTACCACTCAGAGGGACCAAACGTTTTAGTGTTTTTATTCCTTTATGTCTCTATATATCCAAAAAGTATGATGGGCATCTCAATTTGGTACCTCAGACTCAGAACGAGGCTAAATCAAAGATGGCCGCCCCAAACCCCAGCATTTTCAAATAAATGTCAATTCCAAGCTTTTGTCATGAGTGAGTGAGTTTAGTTTTACGTCACACTCAGCAATATTCCAGCAATATGGCGGCGGTATGTAAATAATCGAGTCTGGACCAGACAATCCGGTGATCAACAGCATGAGCATCGATCTACACAATTGGGAACCGATGACATGTGTCAACCAAGCCAGCGAGCCTGACCACCCGATCCCGTTAGTCGCCTCTTACGAAAAGCATGGGTTACTGAAGATCAATTCTAACCTGGATCTTCACGGGTGCGTCAACCGTGCAGTAGTATGATACAATGAGACGTCTCACTTCTGTAAAACAACACCTAGTCGCAGAATGTGTGCGTGGTCATGATCGGTGGGAATATCATTCGCCTCTTCATTACTTATTTTTTCAGTGAAAGGTCCCTAAATTCCGAAGTTTCTTATGAGAAAATGGTACAATTAATGACTAGCTCTAATCCAAACGTAAATCAACGCCTAGCCAGTTTTGTGTTTTTGGAATTTCAGAAAAGGCATAAATTCCTGTCTAATAAATAATATTATAACCATGTTAGTTTATATATTCCACTCTGAACTGAAATGGACCCGTGAAGGTCCGGGTTAGAATGTACCTTCAGTAACCCATGTTTGTCGTAAGAGGCGACTAACGGGATCGGGTGGTCAGGCTCGCTTGCTTGGTTGACACATGTCGACGGTTCCCAATTGCGCAGATAGATGCTCATGCTGTTGATCACTGGATTGTCTTGTCCAGACTTGATTATTTACAGACCGCCGCCATATTGCTGGAATATTGCTGAGTGTGGCGTAAAACTCAACTCACTCACTCACTGAACTGAAATGAACATTGTACATGTTTTGTAACTAAATCAGAAATTATCTTACATGTCATCATCTAATATTGTGATGTATTATTAGATTTATTATCTACTCCATCCTTGTATCATCAACATAAAGAGTATACAAGCTGCAGATATGTCTCTCTGCCTGATGTACATTTTGTTTTTTTCAAATTGATGTGTTTGATGTGATCATGCAAATGTGAAATGTATAATGAGCCGGTGGCCCCTTTACGAAATATACAACTCAATTACTCATTTTTTCAGTGAAAGATTCCTAAATTCCCAAGTTCCCCCGGAAAATCAATCAAGGCCCCAAGCTCCAGAAAGTCCGAAGAGTTCCAGATTTATCACGCCATGTAACAAGTGCCTTGAGAAGGTTGCAGATGCTAAGTTCGTCCCCTGTGGACACAAAGTAATGTGCAGGTCGTGCGCTGCCAGCTTCAAAACGTGTCCGTTATGCGACACACACGTACTACACGTGCAAAGAAGCAAACGAGGTAGGTGGTGAGTGACCCACGGGACAAGATGTACACATCGTATTTAAAAATAATACACAGGATAGTAAAGCTGATACACAGTGTACCAAAACTGATACACAGAACGCAAATAGTTAATAGAGGATACTAAGCGACCTTTTGTGTAATTCCAATTTTATTAAACGAGTTAATGATTTGGTATCAAACGAGCGAATGCGAATTTAATAAAAAGTGGTATTTCACGGAAGCGAGTTTAGTATTCTGTTTATTACTCTCCAACGTAAATTGATAGAAACTGCCTACAGTGTGATGATTCTCATGTAAATTTTCCACGATTCAAGCAAGGTCTAAAACCATTGCGACAGAGGCATTAGCTTTGTGATATCATAACTGTAACCATTATGACGTCATATGTCTAGCGGTATTACACGCCGTAAAAAATATTACACTGCAGTATCTTCCACGGGCGAGTAATAATACACTTTGTTACCCTAAGATAAATTTGTCGAATTCTGGTTGGTCAATAGTCAAAGCATACCAAACCATGTAGGTGGATTTGCCAGGGTGTACGAACCGTACACCCCGTCAAATCTGTCATGTGACACACTACACGGATTGTACGAATGACCTTGACCTTAGATGGAATGTGGCTGCCAAACGGCTGATCGCTTCGAAATTTTAGAGCTGGCGTATTTAATTATAAGCATAAACAGAGTACTGAAATTGTTGCCATAATTTCTTATTTGTTTGTTTCAATAAATATATCCAAAAAATAAAATGTTTCTGCATTTCACTTGTCGTTTGACAAAAACTCAAATTCGATTTTTTTTTCATAAACTACGCCATCCTAAGTTATCTCCCTTTATGGCCGTTCGGAAAAAATCATGGCGAAATGTTTTGCGTCTCATTCTGCCGATGATTTAAATGTTGTCTTAAGGGTAATAACTTCGTCACATGGTGTTTTGAAAGGGTGTACGGGACTGTAAGACCCTTGTAAATTCCGTAAATACGGAATTTACAAGGGTCTTAAAGTCCCGTACACCCTTTCAAATACGGAATTTACAAGGGTCTTAAAGTCCCGTACACCCTTTCAAAACACCGTGTAACTAATAGTATGCCAAGAATGACACACGGAAAACAAATAGTAATACACTGTGCAGCAAATATGATACACAGAACTCAAATAGTAACACACTGTGTTCCAAATATGACACACGGAACACAAATAGTAATACACTGTGTACCAAGAAAGATACACAGAAAATAAAAAGTAATACACAGTATGCAAAGTGTGACACACAAACCGCAAATAGGTATACTCAGCACACAAACGTGTGCACAGTGTAGAAGTAATACAAAGAGCATTAAGAAAAGTAAGTAATGATTGATTCATTATTCTTAATAGGTGATGACGATGACGACGACGACGACGACGATGATGATGGTGATGTCCAGTGCAAAACTCAGTAGAAGATACACTTCACCCAGGGTTCGAAATACACCGTTAGCGAAGACAGGATTTAAATTAATGTGACTCTAGGTGATACGTTTATGGAATATGTGTGTAGCAGTTGAGTTGTTTTAACGCCAAGTGAGTGAGTGAGTTTAGTTTTACAAGGTCTGTAAATTATCGAGTCTGGACCAGATCATCCAGTGACCACAGCATGAGCATCAATCTACGCAACTGGCAAGCATGACATGTGTCAACTTATAGCGAGCCTGACCACCCGATTCCGTTAGTCGCCGCTTATGACAAGCATGGGTTACTGAAGATCAATATTCTAACCCGGATCTTCACGGGTATTTTAACGCCAAGCAGGTTTGTTCCAGTACTGAAACGTATATATGCACAAGACAATGCTTTACTATTATCACATTTTCTGTATACAATTGCCAATGTTTTTTTGTTGTTGTTTTTTTTTTTGGGGGGGGGGAGAGCCCAAACGAGTGATCAGTTAAATGACGTCACTAATTCTAGTTTCACACACAACTGATAATGGATGATGCGGACATTTACTAATAAGTAAAACTACAAGTAAAATACCCATATTGGGGCAGTGTAGAAATATTATCAAAAAAGCTTCAGAACATCACCAAAAGAAAACTTGAAGTTCGCATCCCTTGACACAAGCCCCCAGTCAAGAGACCAGGAATATGTCATTGGTACCACATCATCCTGTCCGCCTACCATGAACAACATTCCCACTGTCAATTTGTAAATTAATCTTATATGCCTTTAAATGAGAGAGTATGTTTTAACTGTTTAAATGTTGTTGAAGATGAAATGAATGTACTTTTATACTGTCCTTTATACCAGTGTTTTACAAATGTTTATTGGAAAAGTACACAGTTTTTAATGGTAATTTTATAAATTTTACTGATTAGGAAAAGCTATCGTGTTCAGTGTCCTATTTGATGTAAATTAACAGCCGAAACCTGTTTTGATATTTTAAAGAAACAGGGGTTCACCGTTATCATTAGTTTAATATTTGTAAGGTTTGTTTTATATTTTATAGTATTTGTAAATAATCTTTCATAATCCCACAAGGGATGGCTCATATTGTATACTAGTTTTTCTTTTTACGATGTTTTAAATGTATAATGTATACGTATGAGGTGAGACTCGTAATAAACAATCTATCTGTCTCTCTCTTTTCAGCTATGTGTATTTTGTTGGGCCTCAGGAACAATTAGCTTCGTCATTTGTTACTGCATCATTTACCAATATCCATTGTTGTTGTTGAAACCATGGTGGTTGTTTTGTATCACCCTCATGTTGTCTTTGTTAATCCCCGCAAGATGTATAATACAAGTCTGTTCTGTGTTATTATTATTGACAACGGTTAACACATCTTTAAACTGCGAAAGGTCGCATCATGATATAATAAAGAGGTTGTCATCCATAAAGTATCCTACCTTTCTTATTACTCATGTCAGTCAAACAGATCATTCGAAGATGTACGTGTTGTAAATGTAATGCATTACCATAGCACAAGGACGGTGTGGTAGCCAAGAGGTTAAAGCGTTCGCTCGCCACGTCGAAGATCTGGGTTCGATTCCCCACATTGGTACAATGTGTGAAGGCCATTTCTGGTATTCCCCGCCATGATATTGCTGGAATATTGCTAAAAGCGGCGTAAAACTAAACTCACTTACATAGCAAAATGTGTGGCAAAAAACATACAACTTGTAGATTGCAAAAACTCAGCAGTTGTTATCCATGACAGTACCCATTCTACAATCCGAATCAAACAATTTCAATTTTAATCATGTTGGAGAAACATTGCTTTAGAGGACAATGAATTAAAAGGATATTTTTGTGGTATTTAAGTCTGATGATTTAAGGTATTTAAGTCTCTATCTCAGTATATCGGTATTCCAATGCCAACTTCAAAATGTGTATTTTCTGGTCGTGTTAGTGAGTGGTTTGAAACTACCAGGTTTCTAAACCTGTATTATCAATGTATTTTTAAGCAAACCTCTTGCATATAATACAGATATCCGCGATTAAAATATTAATCCCATTTGACTAAGTTTTCCTTGTTAGTGAAAACTATCAGACTGTGAAACGTAAATGTATTCATTTACTGCAGCAGACCTGCTCGAATAAACGTGAATGCATGCAACTATTCTAGAGAACCCACATGAGAAGAATACACACATATAAGGGGCTGTTAATAATTTCTGGTTGGGGGTGGGGGGGTGATTTTTATGGAGAAACATGTACTATGTGAATGACACCCGAAAAATCTATGAACAAAGAAAGTGAACCCCCTGTATGTCATCTACAAAATCAGTAACCACTCCCAACCCATAACTGCATAAATTTTTATCTACAAAATTGCTGAACCCACCTAGTACATGTGTAAAAAATTGCTGACACCCCCCTACGTCCCCAGAACAAAACACAATGGGTGATCCCCTTTACACCACCCCCATCCCATAAATTAAGAATGGTCCCTAAACAGGAACACATTCGTAATCTGTTCAATCTGACTTTATACTATGATAAGAAGAAATTAATATGTAACATCTATTGTAGACATTGCACCATGTTAAAAAGAACACCGTAATAAACACAACACATATTCCATTTCTGGTGTCCCCCACCGTGATATTGCTGGAATATTGCTAAAAACGGCGTAAAACTAAACTCAGTCAGCTAACACATACTCATAAATATCGTTGACTGTAACGTTTGTTCAGGCTTGTCAACAACAAAGGACCTGTTGGGCTAAACATGCTGATAGTCTCTGTTTCCACCGTACTATTTTTAAATACGAGGTTCTCGGTGGCCTTGACCAGGTCATGGTGACCTTGCATGACAACGGTGATTTGATTTGAGCAATACAAGCCTGAGATAACAAGCCATGATATGTTGACAATGTGTCAACGGGTCATGCATAAGGAAATAGTAACTGTAATGATAGGTGTATAACATTTCAGCAGCTGAACTGGACATTGGCCCTATACAAAAATTAGCATAATAATAATGATAACGCCATAATAACATTTCAGTGGCAAGGGCTTTTGTGCGTTTCACAACATCAATAACCCAGTTCAGACTAAATAAAGTGAAATCCAGTCTTATGAACTGTGAAAAATTACACAGAAGCAATTGCCTAAATTGAATTCTGTTTGCAGTCTTTTATGCTTCTCTTTGTGAAAATTTGTTTCGTATTCAAAGTCCTGGCAAATTGACTATCCGTACATGCAAAGGAGAGAATAATATCATGCAGTTGTCTGCAGTTTAAACTATCAAATGACTCGGAGAAAGATTATGTTCGCAGAACAATAATCCTTGTACCACGTCACGATATCACGTGACACAGCTCGCGGGAGCATAATAACAGTACACTGAATCATTCATTCAAGTGTATAAATAGCACTCAAACTGAAAGTCGATTTTTCCATGTGAGCTATAAATAGATGCACGTCATTGCATTTCTCAGAAATCGGTATTTGTGAAGAAGACGCTGTTTATTGTGTTTCAGAGTTGTAGTTATATATATATGTAGACGTCATTCCTCTTACAATCAACTTCATGGCGGAAACTGGATTCGAAGGTGCGTACGTGATGAGAGTAGCTTAAAACTAAGAGATAAATAACATGCTCGTTTAACCGTCTCCATAGTATTACTAGTTCGTATTAACAAATGCCGATGGCCGCCATTGTGTGTGTGTGTGTGTGTGTGTGTGTGTGTTTGTTTATTTGTTATGTTTTACACATTCGCTTTGACAACCCACTACAGTTATAGATTAACCGAAAGTGACGTACTTAGATTAACAGGAAATATCGTACAACATTGAGTGTGTATGGTTTTACGCCACTTTTAGCAATATTTCAGCAATAACGAGGCGGTTACACCAGAAATGGGCTTCACACATGGTGGGAATCGAGGTTTTACCATTTGATCTACCCCACCGATCCATCACGTTTTACAATGTAATGCCACACAATCATCCCTGTTGGTAGGCAGAACAAAATAGGAGAAAAAACTGATATGTGTGAATTTCTTTGGCCTTCGTAGTATTTTATTTATACTTTATGGATGCAGTTTATTCTTCAGTGTCAAAATAAGGTGCTTCACTTATATCAGAAGTAAACACTGCAGCACCTGATGGGTTTTGTGTCTAAAGTTGTAAAATGTATTTTTCATTCTCAGCATGTACGAAACGTGCAAATGTGAGGAAATTAATATAATTACGAATGCAAAAGCGAACCATTCTGGAATACAGTCAACTACTTCTAATACGAATACGGATATAACGAACTGACGGATGTGAAGAACTGGGTTATTTTGTCTCGACTACATGAAGTATGTTTCTGTCGAAATGTGTGTGTGTGCGATAAGACACTAAGACAGTGGTTCCAATGAGTTCGGTATAACCGTAGTTTATTGTTATATAAATGCATATGGAATATCCCTAGTAACCATCTACAAACACGACTATCCACAATATATATGGAAGTCGTTTTAGGGCTGGAGACGTACATCTGCCGTCGAATTGCAGGAGTATTGATCTGTAGCGTTAGGCAGCAACAGTGAGTGAGTTTAGTTTTACGCCGCTTTTAGCAATATTCCAGCAATATCACGACGGGGGACACCGGAACTGGGCTTCACACATTGTACCCATGATGGAAATCGAGCGCAGGCCTTCGGCTTGACGAGCGAACGCTTTAACCACCGGGCTATCCCACCGCCCCATAGGCTGCACAGACACTCACATACACATACGCTTTGTGTGAATGACAGGCTTTATACTAGAGAACATGTAGACCCTGTTCGCGAATAACCGGTGTCATCCCTATTTTCAGTTATCCACCATATAAGTTTTGTCCTTTTACGCACAATGGAATCTGTTTTTGAGGATAAAAGAGAGTAGTTATTCTTTCTTGTTGACGTTTTATTTTTTAACATTTAAACAAATTTTGTGTTAGATTTTACCAGTGCGACGCATTCACAAACAACGGCTGCACAATGCGAAATCGTAACTAGTTGGGATTTCTTATGCTAATTGAAATGATGTTTATTGCTTCTGTTTCGTATCGTAATTGATATTGATTTCGTATTTCGAACAGGAAAACAGTCTATTGGTGACATAATGTACGAAGGACTTCGAGTAGTACGCGGTCCCGATTGGTCCAGAGGAGAAAGTGATGGAGGTGAAGGTCACGTGGGTACTGTTGTGTCACGAGAGGGCGCTGATCGTGTTGACGTCATATGGGACGGTGGTCAGAGAACGACGTGCAGAGCTGGGAAAGATGGCAAACATGATCTGAGAATCCTGGACACTGGAAGCATAGGTGAGGGTCTATTTCTGTCACTTGTCAGGAACGTTTGTTCAGAATTGACTCTGTTCACCCCAACAGTTCAGCTCTAGTTGACTGCCATACGAATTATCGGCTGGTTACCAACTAAAACCGCTTCTATATATAGACGGCCCGTGAAGATCCCGGTTAGAATTAGTCTTCAGCTACCCATGCTTGTCGTAAGAGGCGACTTAAGGGATAGGGAGGTCAGGCTTGCTGACATGGTTGACACACGTCCTCGTATCCCAGTTGCGTAGATCGAAGCGCATGCTGTTGATCACTGGGTTGTCTGGTCCAGACTCGATTATTTACAGACCGCCGCCATATAGCTGGAATATTGCTGAGTGCAGCGTTGAACACCAATCAACCAACTTCCCTTTCTATATGTAGAAAAATAACTGTTAGATGCGTTACTCTTATAGCAACATCCATTGACCATTTGTGTTTTCAGTTGACAAAGCAGGAGTGGGCATAGTGCGTTATGTTCATTATTTACAGAGCGCAACAATATAGCTGGAATATAGCTGAGTGCGGCGTTAAACAACAACCAACCAACCCTTCTGTATATAATATACTAAGATCGATATGTACACGTACGCTCTGTTCCACAAAGCAATTATCGCAAAGACAAAAGTAGGGGCAGTATTTTCTGTGACTGTTATAGCCGAACAATTATGTTTTCTCACAAAGGACATATTTCAGGACACCTACCATACTACTTTGGTTCATGTTGGGGACTTATTTTGTATATTTCAGGAATACGTCACAGGGGCTTCACGTGTGTTGGCTGTGACACAAAAGACTTCCTCGGCATGAGATGGACGTGCAGCCAGTGCAAGAGTGACACGTTGTGTCTTCCGTGTTACTCCGCGGATAAACATAACACTAGTCACGTGTTCTTGCGTCACGATATGCCTGGGGATTCGGGGTACGTTGAACTGCCTGAATTTTGCTTTGATAGCGCACTTGTGGCTGCAGATCAGCGTTCTCCAGTTGTTTCTATTAAATTACGATCAGATACACTCAAACTGTCAAATATCTTTTTGCACATACAGCATTCTCAGAAATTATTGAGAAAATCTTTGTTTCCTAATGCCGATGATAGAATTTTAAAATAGGTATAACATTATGTAGTAAGGTACTCAATATGGGAGGCAACTCTTGTAGGCTTAAGAATGAACCTTACTACATCAGGAGTTATCTCCCCGGGTTTAGCAGATGGCTTCCTTTGTTGACATGGCAGATTTGACAGCGGAAGAGAAAAGAAAGCTGGTTCTAAATGATTCTGAAAGGGGTGTGACTAATGCAAAAGAGTTAGTTGGTAGACATGACATTCCTCTGTCTACAGTATACAGAACTTTGAAGAATATTCAGTCAGGAGTTGGGATTGAGCACAAGACAGGGCAGGGAGGCCAAGGAAATTCAGTACTACGGATCGCCGGAGACTTGGTTAGATTGTGAGTTGGGGAAACTTGAAAAGCGTTGATAATACCAGAAATGAGATGATTAATAGAGGAAGCCCTGAGGTATGTCATGAAACCCTCAGACAAGAATTACAATGACTTAGTCCCTCACTGTGATATTGCTGGAATATTGCTACAAGAGGCGTAAAACTAAACTCAGTCACTCACTACAAAGACTTAACTGGGTGGAAAAGCGCAGAATTCCCTCACCATTGATGAAAGATGCACAAAAACAAAGATATTTAAACTGGTGTAGGGCTCACGAAAATCAAGACTGGGATAATTCTTTTTCTGATGAAAGTTCTGTCTGGCTTTTTTCCTAACTGAAAATTTGGACAAAAGATACCTTGAAACCTATCTACCAACGTCCAACGTGTGGATGGGATGGGCACGTGGAGTGACGTCTCACTTGAAATTTGACGAAGGAACGAAAATTGATACTTAACGAACATTGTAAAGAGTAGATCGGGCGGTGATAACGATCCAAAACACAGTGGTTAAAGCGTTGGTTGTCGGACCGAAGTTTTATACTGGCCGAGCTACAGCCAAGATCCTAACCCTATTGAGAATGTGTGGGCACAATGAAGGACAGAATAAACCAAAAGGACGTAGAAATATTGAGGCTATGAAGAAAGAAGTGATAATATTGCTACGCTGTCACATTGCTAAAAAACTTCGATCGGTAGTGTACCTGGGCGCATTCAATTGTAGAGGAGGAGGTCTCACAAAGTACTGAAAAGACACTTAGACTGTAAGAGAATCATATGTCAGCATATTCATTTCAGTAAAACTTCTATAGTTTATATACATGTGTGAGATATTTGCCGAAACAACTTTCTCAGTTATTTCTGGGAATACTATAACAGTGTCAATGATGCTACCAGAACCCACCTTTTCTTTCACACGTGGCATCATAAACATTTCATGTTAATTCAAGAACAAATGAAATGGAGTTTATGATATAATTGGAATCGTGCGATTGGATTTGATCTTTATCAGAGATTTTACGGATTTTTCAGGCTTCCTTTGAGCTTTAAAGTTCCAGGGCCTCCTTTCACAAAGCACTAAGATGATCGTAAGTCACAAAGGTAACCTTAGTGCAATGTTAAAGAATGGGAGTTAAGGTTAACCTTAGTAAAGGTTGCTGCGTGAAAGGAGCCCCAGATCACTGCACGTGTATTGCGTTTGAGAGAATATGTTTGACGTGACATGACAATAGGCTCGAAAACACCAGAAGTAAGCACACACACGCACACGCACACGCACACGCACTGAGTTATCAACGTATCCTCAGATAACCTGACCAAAAGGTCTTTAAAACTGTACTGAGGATGCGCTGGTATTTCTAAATGGACCAGCAGGATATGATGTCCCCGTCCCAATCGTCTTCTTCATCTTCTTAAAACTGTCATTTCTCTTTATAGTGTTGAAGTAAAGAAAAGGACTACCTGTCTGAAAGTGCGCTCCCTCGGACTCTACCCCGGGGCACGGGTTGTGAGGGGAGAGGATTGGAAATGGGGGCTACAAGATGGTATGTGTTAGTTAACCTACTGTGCCCACTCTTGCTCTTTAACTAAACACAAAAGAGGCCAGTTGTGTTGATATTTTTGATAGGCATCGTTATTTAGACCCAAGGATTGGAATCTGTTGTATTAATATTATCATTTAATCATGAAAACCAGCTTGAAGTCAACACGTCAAAATCGGAACCACATTATCTTAAAGCACAGTATGTCGTCCTTCTTATAAACGGTTTGTGAATATAGTCGAGACTTGGTGATCGTTTGCACTGACAATCTATATTATAAGTGTAATCTTGTAATTACAGGCGGTAGTGGAAACAAGGGTACGATCACTGAGATACATGACGAGCCGAGGGCAGGGACGACACGCAGCACAGTGAGGGTGAAGTGGGACGTGGGTCCCTCCAATCTGTACCGGGTGGGGCATGAGGGCAAGGTGGACGTCAAGTACGTAGAAGAGGCCCCGGGGCTGTTCTACTACAGGGATAACATGCCTGTCCTTGGTGAGATATTGTCTCTATATAGATTTGTTCACATGAAAGCTAATCTGTTTAACAGGCGGAAGTGTGTCTTTGTCTGTAGATACTCTACGATAGGTGGATTTACCAATGTGACGAATGTTATATTTCTTGCTTGTATTGGTTGGTTAGTTGGTTTGTTGTTCAACGCCGCATTAAGCAATACTGCAGCTCTATGGCGGAGGTCCGTAAATAATCGAGTCTAGACTAGACAATCCAGTGATCAACAGAATGAGCATCGATCTCGCAATAGGGACACGATGACATGTGTCAACCAAGTCAGAGAGCCTGACCATCCGATCACGTTACTCGCTTCTTACGACAAGCATGGGTTACTGACTGCTTGCATTTGGTAATTGACAACGCACAGAGCTTCATTAGCCATACTTCTGTAGCAATATTATTCATGTTCATTTAGCTTAGAAATCTGAATGAATACCGTCAGCTCCAAGATGATTTACCAAAACAAATTCCATCAGGCGCAAGGCGAAGCAGTGGCGAAAACTGTATGAATTTGCTCAAAGTGAAACATTATGCCTGGAGACAGATTTTTCTTATCAAAATCGCCTGGTAAAGAATTTAAACGCTTTCTGTTGCTGTCTATTGCAGAATAATGTTACCTTTTGTAAGACCATTTACATTAATAATAACAATAATTGACCTTTACCTGGTGAAATAAATGTAAAAGTCTCTATTATCCGTTGAATAAGAAATCATTTTGTGTAAACGGCTGAATTGCTGTGAAAATTATGTAAATGGATCCACAGTGTTTAAAAATCTAAGAATGTTAACGCTGAAATCCAGATGTGATGGGCCCGCAGCGTCCACAACCTGCTGCCAGCGCTGAGATTGTCGTTGGGTGTAAAGTGTGTATACAGTTGGACCAGGATGAGATGAAACGCGTTCAGGCGGACAAGGGCGGTTGGACAGCAAGTATGGCGGAGGTAGAGTAGTGGTTGAAATGTTCGGCTCCAATTATCATAGACACTTAACAGGGAAGGAAACTGCAAACCTAACTGTAGACTTGCACAAGTCTTTAATTAATAGTTTAAATGATAATTTCTTTAAAAAATTAGAAATAACAGACTGGGGTCCTTAAACTGTCCGCTTATCTAGACTTGCCCATGTAAAGGATAGAATTACTACACATTCATGCGTTTAGCACTCAGTACAGCCTTAAATTAGAGCAAGGCTAACCCAGCAGTTACAATGGGAGTTCAAGCCATCATTTTATATCCGATAGACAGTAATATCAACTTCAGTCTCATCGGTTCACTAGTATTTATCACATCATTGTTTTTTGGACTTTTTGGTGAAGTGGCAATAGAGTGAGTTTTACACCGCTTTTAGAACATTCCAGCAATATCATGGCGGAGGACACCGGGAGTCGGCTACATACATTATAGCCACTTGGAGAATCGAACCTGGCGTTTGGGCATGTCGAGCGAACGCTCTTACCACTAGACTACCACTAATAATGGTGATATAAGGAAGAACTCCAAGTGTCTTTTAGGCAAATCAACGGTTTGGATAGTTTAGTTGGTACAATGTGTGAAGCCTATTTCTGGTGTCCCCCGCCGTGATATTGCTGGGATATTGCTAAAAGCGGCGTAAATCTAAACTCGCTGACTCACTCACTAGAGATATAATGTAAGTACAGATGTAGGTCCTTTCAACTTCGACCCACCAATGCTTGACTGAACATCAAACTACAAATATATGATAACAACACAATGAAGATGTGTCATATTAAAAAAACAAATGCAACAACGCCTCACTTGAAATTCTTATTTCCTTTTGCTGAAAATACAGTTCTTATATGTCAGTATTCATTTGTCTAATTTTCAGTGTGTCGGGAAATTCGGTACCGTTAGAGAAATACCATGCGATGGCGTCGCTTCTGTTGAATTTGAAAACAGTAGATACAGACTGGCAACTGAAGCACTCACAAAGGTAAGTGTGCATATGCCGTTATGTGTTGCAGTCTTCAATAACACGTGGTGTGCAGAGAAACACGGTGTTTATTTCACATTTGAGGATCTAGGACGTGTCATAACGCACATTTGATCAGTCACTATTTTCCACTGTTTTGGGATCAAGGTAGTAAAATGGTCCATCTATAGAAATGAACGGATATGTCCTCCGTCGCTCAAAACAACCGCTGCTCCAAGTGGTTGGTTGGTTGGTTGGTTGTTTGGTTGGTTGGTGATTAACATCGGGCTCAGCAATATTCCAGCTTTATGGCGGCGGTCTGTAAATAATGGAGTCCGGACCAGACAATCCAGTGATCAATAGCATGAGCATCGATCTACGCAATTGGGATATGATGCTGCTCAAAGTGATCCAGTGCCGTCTTTATACTGAAAACCAGACATTAGTTCATCTTATGTCAACAATGTGTTTTATTTGCGGGCGTTATTTTTATAGCATGAGGAAAATTTAATATATATGGTCGGTACTGCTTCTGAATCTTTTCATCACACTCACATTTTTAAAAGCATATCTGTTTTGGAATTTTACTGTTACTTATTTTTAGATCACGAATTCTGTTACATTCTGAGTGATGTACAAAACCCAATGTACTTTACTTCGTTCATACACGTCGCGTGTTGTATTCTTATGTATTTGTGTACCTCACGTCACCTTACCTTACTATTCATGTATTCAAGGCTTGCCTTATATCGGAAGAAAACAAAAATACCACCTGGCTGCATACTTTTACAGACATTAGAAATATTATATGAGGCAAACACCATAACTGATGACAACGTTATCGTTTATTACTTCATCACTGTCGGTTATTAGTTTCCAGGTGTGTCTTATCCCACATGTGTGTATTCATATATCCCGGGTATGTAATATCTCATATAGTCTCCATGTTTTCTATGTTATTCCCTGGGTGTAGGTCTATGACCATAACGTCAACGACGTGGTCCGTGTTGTCAGTGACAAGAAGAAGGTACAGTTGCTTCAAGACGGACACGGGGAGTGGAACGCCAAAATGGAAGAGGTATACTGTAAAACAACATTATAAAACCCCCACTACCAATCATTCTATGAAAGTCTTTAAAATGCATTATTCTGAAATAAACTGATGTTCGGGAAAAAGTACACATTTGCCAAGCACCACAAATAAACCATACACAGTTGAAACGTTGTCAGCACCTCAACGTTACTACCCCAACGTAGACGATTCAGTCGCTGTTGACCTGTTAATGACATGTGCCGACTTGTAAGTCACAATCAAAACACTTTTCATAATATATACCTGTTTTAAAAAGACTATCACCAGGTGTGTTCTTTCTTTTGTACACCGGGTGGTGGGGTAGCCCAGTGGTTAAAGCGTTCGCTCGTGACGCTGAAGACCCGGGTTCGATTCCCCACATGGGTACAATGTGTGAAGCCCATTTTTGCTGTCCCCAGCGTGATGTTGCTGGAATATTGCTAAAAGCGGCGTAAAACTAAACTCACTCACTCACACTTTTGTACACCAGTCTATGTTTGAGACTGAGAGGTAAAAGATGCCCATGCTCACTTCACACGGTTTCACTGGTACTGTAGGACGTAATACTTTTGGGTTTTCAGTCCTTGGGTAAAGTAGGCCGGGTGAAGAGAGTGGATAGCGATGGTGATGTGGTGGTTCTGTTTGGGTCGAGGAAGTGGATCTTCAACCCCGCCTGTTGTGTCCCTGCCCCTGGGGAGAACGTGGACGACGGTGACGGTGGTGCGGGGGATGCAGTATTAGGTAAGAAAGACGCTTTTACAATAGATCACACATGATTGTAGGTATTACCATTTCGTCTTTATTCCCTTTATTGTCTATTTGTAATAGTCTGTAAAAGGACTGTGCGCACATAAGTGTTTGCGAGTAAATGCATAGGCAATATATGCTTTACCGATTTTGTCTACAGTTTTCTACAATTCAGTTTTGGTATAAATGTTTAACGCAGTACCATTTTTCTGTGAATTTTTCAATTTTTTTAATTTGCTGTGTTATATTTTAACGAAATCCCTAACTTCATTAAACCTTAGAGAAATTGTTACAAGAGGGGAGCAAGACTTTTCTGTCTGTAATAATCGTCTGTCCATTTCATAGTGACCTTCGAAAGAAATATATTAAAGATTATTTAGTAGTGGTGCCACTGACGAAAGCTTTCGAATGTATTTTAACGACAAAGAACGAACTCATACATTAAGTCTTTACGGGTGGTGGGGTAGACTCGTGGTTAAAGCGTTCGCTCGTCACGCCGAAGACCCAGGTTCAAATCCCCAAATGGGCACAGTGTGTGAAGCCCATTTCTGGTGTCCCTTGTTGTGGCTTGCAGGAAATTGCTAAAAGCGGCGTAAAATTTAACCACACGCACTCAGTAAGTCTTTCACTATATATTAAAGATGCACTAGCCAAAAGAAATGAAACTGATTAAAAACGTGTATCTTCTTGAGTGTAACAGTATTAAATAAATATGTATGTTTTACACTTTCTTGTATGTGGGCCGAAGCCCTTTTGTACAATCAATCTCTTTGACTTTGACTGACTCATATACTGTTCTAAAGAGTATCTTGATGGTATCTTGCGGTGGTGCTCTTGCCTTGCATTAACATTTTCGTGGTTATTTAGGATTAGATGCAGTTCCGGCCCTTGGACAGATGCTAGACGGATTACTTGGAAATCTGACCAGGCTTGTTGGAGGGGACGTATCAATTGCCATGGGTGGCATGACTGGAGCCATTGTGAAGGGGGACCTTGATGCGGTTAAGGCTATGGTTCAGACCAAACCGGAGATGGTGGGTGTTGCTTGTTTCATATATGTGCTACTGGTTAAAATGGGGCGAAGGCCCGGGTGAGATAGCCTGGTGGTTAAAGCGTTCACTCGTCACGCTGAAGACCCAGATTTGACTCCCAACATGGGTACAATGTATAAAGCCCATTCCTGATGTCCCCCGCCATGACACTGCTGGAATACGGCTACAAGCGGCGTAAAAACATACTCAATCAATCAATCAATCTTAAGCATCCATATTATCTGGAAATAAGTAAAGAGGTGGTTCCATATTTACCTGTGAAGGTCCGGGTTAGAATTAATCTTCAGTAACCCATGCTTGTCGTAAGAGGCGACTAACGGGATCGGGTGGTCAGGCTCGTTGACTTACATGTAATCGGCTCCCAATTGCGTGGATCGATGCTCATGCTGTTGATCCCTGGATTGTCTGGTCCCGACACGGTTATTTACAGATCGTCGCCATATAACTGGAATATTGCGACGCGGCGTTCTCCTAAACTCACTCACTCACTCACTTCATGTTCAGTCCAAATCCAATATCAATTTCTCAGCTGTCGGAAGCATCTGGAATGCAGAGGTTGACGCCACTGATGATAGCATGCCACGAGGGCCAAGTACAGATAGCCCGCTTCTTGCTGGAGAGTGGAGCTGACCTTGACACTAAGGGCCACATGGGAATCACCCCTCTCTCGGCAGCCTTGGTCGGGTGAGACGTTCATTATTTGAATTCAAGAATAATAGATGTAGCTCCAACATGGAAATGACGAGTGAAAATAGAATGACTGACAAGGTGCTATCTTCTTTAACAATAGTTATCAGTCAGTGGTCTGTTATACAGAGGTACAGATAAGCTGCGTATCTGCTTAAATTACGCAAATATTTATGTGAAAACTATTATTATTATTAGGTGTGTTGCGTACAGGTACGCTTAATTTTTTGTAAATACTCAAATACATTTGATCTTACATGCGTACATACAAAAATGTCAAATCTTAGCTTGCGTACCGGTGGATAGTTAAAATAACTGAGGTATATTGAGAGGTTCTATTTCAACACATGAACTTGCAGTCTTTCTTATCGTTTCTCACATTACAGATCAAATATATACAACAAACACGTAATCCAACATTATATTTTTACAATTAATGGAAAGTGGCAAAATACCCAATTAAGTTTGAGTGAGGTGGGTACAATCTATTTGGTTACTCAAAGGAAAATTAAGATACGTGTAACGTGTAAAATTAAGACACGTGTAACGTGTACATAACTCAATGACCCAAAAAGTTATCTATAGCTCTGCTGTTATGAGATAATATTGCTCCCTATATGGCCACAATCTAAACCATATTCTGTCCAAGCACCTCAACCCGAGCTCGAGAACAAGGGGCGTAGCTACCATTATAAAAAAAAGCCCGGGCTTACACATGATTGTTGCTAAAAAAAGTTTGGCAAGCACTCAATACTATCAAATATAAAGCTTTGCAACCTATCGGGCTAACACGAAAAACTTGGCTTGCTACGCGCCACTCGTCAACCTCCCGTCTTGAACAGGGTGTTTTCTGCATTACAAGCGTACATATCAGCAGACATATCCCCACGTTCATTCTAGTAACACTACAATATTCGACTGTATCTTTTATAGGAAGAAGGAAGCCATTGTGACTATGCTGATCGAAAGGGGCGCCAATATTCATCACAGACACCAGAACGGACAGACAACTCTCCATCTGGCAGTACATAACAATCTCCCTCACGTCCTCAAAATGCTGGTAGAGAAAGGTGTGGACGTCAATGTAACGGTAGGTATCCTTACATTAAAGATGAAAGACTATGTAAAAGACTTGTCCATTCCCCTTACCCATTTAGCGCTAATTAACTACTGGTTTCCCTTGTTATCTTATCACTGTTGTTGTGTCACGTGTACATATATAGTTGTCTGTTTCCTGGTCTTTCATTCACCCGAAGAAGGAGTAAGAATATACAATGTACTCCGAAAAGTAGTGGTGTTCTGATGATCGAAAATCGATCGAAAGAAGGATTAAAAATAAATTTGTCGATCGTAAAGAATTGTTTTGTTGTATAATCGGAATATTGTTGTTTTTGTATAACACCCTTGACATCAAATTAACATCAAATTAAATGGCTAGTATACTTAATTCAAGTATACTAACCATTTAATTTGATGAATATTCACAAACAAACATCTGCTCAACAGCATAAAGCTATGCGCATTGTAAAATTTTAACCACTTTTATTGCTTAATTACAATTCCAGTGTCTTGCTTGCATGCGTGCATTTCATTGCATGACAGTATCAGTTATAAAAAGACATTAATTAGAAAAAAACTGGGAAAAAACTTAAAATTGGTGATTACATTAAAAATGTATATATTTCGATTATAATCGTTCACCTCAAGTCCTCCGATAATCGATAGTGGATTTGGTTTCCGATTCCCAACACTACCGAAAAGTCGTGTCCTTCAAAAGTTGACATCCATAAATTCTTGCCTTTAGGTGAAGACAAAAATATATGAATCGTGTGATTTTTCAGGATAAGGCCGGCGACACCCCTCTCCATGACGCCATCTTTATCAAGAACCACGAATGTGCGGAGGTGCTGATCGAATGTCCAAGAACCGATCTCCAGAAGTTTAACGAGCAGAACTTCAACCCACTGCAGTGGGCATGTCTCAAAGACGCTGTACCGTAAGTGAGAGTGAGTGAGTGAGTTTAGTTTTATGCCGTTGTTAGCAATATCCCAGCAATATCGCGGTGGGGGACACCAGAAATAGGCTTCACGCATTGTACCCATCTGGGCAATCGAACCCGGATCTTCTGCGCGAGGAGCGAATGCTTTAACCACTAGGCTACCCCACCGCCCCGTAAGATGAGAAAGGAGGTTACATCATAGCATTCAAGTAAGTGACTTAAGCTTTCTGCTTACTATTTTCCATTAGGGCGCTTGACTACAAAGGCTGTGCACTTTATTAGGCTTTAGACAGGTTGTAGCATACGTTTTGAAAGTTGGAGTGGGTTGGGTTAAACAGAATTCAAGTTATACCAAAGCGTGTCTGCTTCATAAGGAAGGGAAGCCCGAAATGATCACTTTGGTGGAACCCACGAGTACTAAGTGTGTGGTACTGACATACCTGAACACATTATCGTCACGAACCGGGATTCGAACCCACAATAATAAACAGCATTGACATACGACAAATGAAAATAGACGGTGTATCAGAAATGTATTGTGGCATATAAAAACAAATCTTTAATACTGTGCTTTCAGTTCCGTAGAAAAAATCCTGGAGAGAGACACGTCATTTGTAAATGATCTGATGTTCAACGACACCTTCTCTGCTCTCCACATCGCAGCCGCAAACGACCACGTGGAATGTGGCAGACTGCTCCTTGACAAGGTAACGCAAAACTCACTATTTTCAAACCTGCTATAATAAGAATACATTTATGGCGCTGAACGCCGCGTCACATGGGCATTCTCTTAGCGTATACAACATAGTAGACATTGTAAACCCAAGCTGCAGAGGAGGCGCTGGAAGGTTAATAGTAGACTTATCCCACCGGGTACCCATTCACTGATGTGTGAACAGAGGCAGTTTTCAATAAACTCACTTGCCTTTGGTGGGACCACATGCGTTAAGTGTGCTTCGCTCAGAGTCAGGATAAAAGTCATAGAAACTAAAGCTGCCAAAACGACAACCCATCCACGGAACTTGGGATGTCGTGTTACGCTCCTTGTTCAGTTCTACGCTTTACCGACTTGCGCTGATTAAGAATGTGTCTTTCATTATTTTGTGACATTTCTCTCATCCATATTTCTTCATCAGGGCAAAGCGGAGGTTAACAGGAAGGGACGACAGGGTCTCAGTCCTCTGCATATTGCTGTCAGCCAACCTTACTACAGGGCAGCGGAACTCCTTCTCCAGAAAGGTTGGACCTTTGTAAAATTATATCTGTAACGGATTATCTTAATTTGCTATTGTATTCACTATACGGTGAAAAGAATAAGGAAAGGCGGTTGGTAATGAAGAAGAGCAGTCGTAAGGCACCGTCATTCGCTGGCAGAATTGCGTCCCTTGGGCAAGTCAGAATCTGTACGTGGTTGTCAACAACATACCCATGCTCGTTGGTTTCATCATAATGTTAAACGTCTGAGACCCGCTTTCTTCAACATGAGTGATAAACTGGAACAGTTCAATGCGTCCTTAAACCCAACTCATTCATTCATTCATTATTTTGGCTTTTTTTATCATTTGACCGCAGGTTCGTTTCGCTTCAGGTGCTGATCCCAATTTTGAAAATCAGATGGGCGACAGGCCGCTACACGTGATGTGTGTGCATGCGTCCCAGAAGGTGAATATGCCGAGTCGTGCGGCGCAGCTCTGGTAGTTCCTGGTATCATAACTAGTTGATAGTGATTCAATAAACACATTCTCATGATATAGTCGGATCATACAACGGACATTGCGTTTAGCAAACATTTCTCATCAAGTAAAGACAGAACTCTATTGAGACAATTCAAACCCCACTGTGCTCATGGTTATTTTAACTTTTCACCCCTTATCTTTCAAATAAATTATTTCTAGGGTGCCATATCGTCAAGTGAGGCTGAGAAGTTCTTCAGAGTTGGGCAGCTGCTTCTTCAGAACGGTGCTGCGTACAAGGCCAAAAACGCACTCGGAATTGCCGCCCTTGATCTGTGTAATAACGGAGGTGTCAAAAAAGCAATCCAGAAATACATCGACCAGCAGTATGTACAGGCCCTTTCTTTTAAAGTGAGTGAGTGAGTTTATTTTTACGCCGCTGTTAGCAATATTCCAGCAATATCACAGCGGGGGATACACGAAATTGGCTTCGCACATTGTACCCATGTGGGGAATCGAACCCAGGGAATTAACCTTTACTAAGGTTAACCTTAACTCCTATTCTTTAACATTGCACTAAGGTTACCTTAGTGACTTACAATCACCTTAGTGCTTTGTGAAAGGAGGCCCGGTCTTCAGCGTGACGAGCGAACGCTTTGACCACTTAACTAACCACTAGGCAAATGCCACTTATCTCAATACAATAACACAGCCAAGCAAGGGTACACATCTGAAGCAGCAAATGTTACAGTATTGTTTTCCGTTGAACATGCATATTCGTATCACGTATCATGTGTCCGCAACCTCTCATAGTATTGTGTTCATAGTCATGCCCAAGGAAAGAAAGGTCCTCAGTTTCTTTGTTGTTGTTGGAGATTGTGTGTTATCGTATCCTGACTCCAAAGATCGATGCTCATGTTTTTAACCACCAATAGTGTTGCGATGCGGATTTGTGTGTGCGTGGATCTTTCTTCAGGCTGTCAACCCCTGGTTTTGTGCGGCCCAGAATCGAAAGAGGCGACTAAGTGGATCGGGTGGTCATCATATGCCAATAGCGTAGATCGATGCTCATGCTGTTGATAACTAGATTGTAGTGTGCACACTCGATTATCTGCAGACTTCGCCATCTGGCTGAATTAAACAAAAACAAGTGATGTTTCTAACCACCGATGGTTGTTGCGGATGATGTTGCTCACACTTTCAATCACTGGTTTATCTGGTCCAGAATCAATTTACATGACTGAAATTTACCGGCATGCATGTTCCCTGTATGAATGTAGTGTATCGTTCTTTCTACCAATGATTTCAGTCAAGACTCACTGAACACCACCACCACCAGCTCAGCTCACAGCGTGGCACACGGGTTAGGTGGGCTGAATCTGTTGGACATCCCGACGCCCTGCAGCAAGTGCTTCCTACGTCCGTCAGATGCCAAGTTCGTCCCATGCGCACACAAAGTCATGTGCAAATCGTGCGCTGATGACTGTTCCAAGTGCCCTGTATGTGATACACCCGTACAGACAGCGCGGAGAGTCACACAAGGTTGGTAAAGGAACGGAGTAAACATTACCAAATTCTTTTCGCGCTCATCTTCATCAAATAACTTTCAAGAAAAAGTCGTATTATCCTTTATGAAATATCCGGAGGTCGTGCATGCCTTATTGTACTCCAAAGTTGTAGATAGCATAGCTGGTGCAGCAGGAATACTGTTCAAATAGAAGCAAAAAATGAAAAATCAACATACATACCTCCTTGCCTCATACACCTTATATGTTATCGTTTGTGAAATCTAGTGCCATGTTAAAAAAAGCACTTTCAATTCTGAAACATGAAAAAGTCATTCAATAAAAAAGCAGTTGGTCAACATGATATAACGGTAAAATGACTTAGTCTATAAAAATGTATCATGATTTTAAAGCCATTTGAGAGCCGATCTAAATTATTTTATGTTTGATTTCCCAAAACGTGTATGCTGTGACGAGTTGTTTCCCTTGAACTAATGTGAGTGAGTTTTTCACATACTCATGATTTGGTCAGAATTGCACAACTGACTCTGCATATAGCAGAACATTTTTACGGATGTGATAAGAGTTTTACTCTTATTTCCATTAACTATTATTTGGTAGTCAAGGAAAGGCGATTTAGATTAGTACAGCGTTAGTTTCTCCTGGATTCGGTTATCATCCGGTATTGTTCAGTTATTTCTTATTTACAGTTATTACAACGTATGAAAGACAATATCCAGAATATATTGAAAATACGCGAATGTTGTAGCTCTAAAATGTCCTATTGTCATTTTAAATCAATCTAAAAGAGTGAAGAATATTTCAATTGTGTAACCGTAAGTAAATTCAGTCCATGTAGATCAAGGTATAGATGCAGTGCACAATGGTTGGAAATCCTTGTTTGGCCTCTCTTCGCAGATGATAACGATTCCCCTGGGGTGCAGTGTAAGATGCAGTAGACGTCGAGCGTGACTTCTTCTGACGACGTCGACGTCGACCGTGTCGTCTTCTGGCGTCGTCCCGACAGGATGTACATCAGCACTCAACAATAGCATTGAATGTCCCCGCACATGTACAAGCAACTTTTTACTTTACGTTCCTTCAACGCACCTCAGGACAGTGTACGCTGGTCAAATACAAAGGAAACTAACGGCAAAACGAAAATATACGCCTTAAATTGGATTTCACCAAATATTTACAAAGGTTATCAGAACGTTACATGACTTAAAACAAACGCTTAAGTTGATGGGCAAAAAGAAAATAAACGCCTTAAAATTGGATTTGACCAAATATTTACAAAGGTTATCAGAACGTTACACAGCTTAAAACAAACGCCGAAATAATGCAAACTTAAGGTCCAAGACCCGTATCAAATACATCGCGATCGAATAACAATTTCTTTTTTGTTTTTAGTCACCATCTTACATGGGTGTTTATGTTTCCAGTGGTTTACACACTCGCCGACCCAAACTCAGAGATGTTATTTGATTATATATCTGTCTAAATTGGATAGAATAGAAACCCATGAGCTAATGGTAAATGCCCAACCTTTCTCACAAATACCCGTGTGCTTTATATGCGTCATAGAGGCTTTCACTGGCGTGCAACTGACTTATACATGTATCATTATGAAGAATGTCGTTCTATTTATAAGATACTTAGCCTCAAAGACTAAATATCCTTGTGGGGTTTTGAAAGAAACTTGTTCTCAGATCAAGTCAGTGTTTGTTATATACAATCAAATACTGTCTCATATCTGTTTTGAAATTTATGTATCTAAAACTACAAATGTAATGTCTGTTTGTGTGACAATTTCAAACTGAAACATGTTATTAACATGAAAATTAATGAGCATCGCCATTTTTTTTATATGACAATAGTTTTTCAGCTTCTCATTAGCAGTATTCATATTTGTGAAATAGTATTTGATATCGGTGTATAAATGTTGTCTAGAAAGTAGTAGTGTTCTACATTATAATGTTATAATTTCTTGTAAGAAGCGACGTGCGGGTCGTGTGGTCAGGTTTCGTGACTGAGTCAATGCAAGTCATCGTAGCACTATTGGGAATATCTATGCTGATATTAATCACTGGATTGATTGGTTCAGGCTCGTTCATTTATAGACAGCCATCATATAACTGGAATATTGTTTGGTGCGGCAGATAACAATCTCACCAAGACTGTATGTACGTATCAGGATGTTTTCTACAATTTTAGGAAAACTCAAGTGTTCTCTAAATTCATTTCTAGGCATTTCTAAAGTAATGTGTCGATTTTTTAGATTTAAGATAAACTTATCAAGGACTAGATATTGGTTACATTTCGTGTTTCCATAAAATTGTGGTACCTTGATTACTGATTTCATGACGTTTTCATGAAATAATATATTCGAGAAGCTGTTGGTTAGATAATTGTTGTCCAAGAAAATCCTTACTGCATTTTCTTACTGCAAATAGATAATTATATAAATGTAATGTTTAACAGGGGAAATGTTTGCTTCGTTTTGTGGTGTGTGCCTTTTCGGTGATCTATTCATAAGCTTGGCACCTCTTGTTGGCCCTTGACATGGTGTCTGGGGCGGTGGGGTAGCCGTAGTGGTTAAAGCGTTGGCTCGTCACGCCGAAGACCAGGGTTCGAATCCCCACATGGGTACAATGTGTGAAGCCCATTTCTGGTGTGCCCCCGCCATGATGTCAGTCAGTAACATGGTGTCTTGATTCGGCAGACATACATGGCGGCAGAGAAGAAGACACGTACACTTACATGTAAATATATGTTCATTGTCAATAAATGTGAATGGACCGAAATTGACGTGGAGTCATTTATATCATCCACAAATATTTGAGTATATGAAAAATGTAACTTGACCGTGTCAAGATGCCCAAAGTAATCTGTCATTGCCCGGACTGATTGACTTCTGTCTTATGAGAAAGTTGAGTGTTCTTTCACTTGTTATGAATATTGTATATCCACCCATTCACGTGGTTCACACTTCTCATACCATCCATATCATCATCATCATCATCATCATTATCATTGTACCAGAAACGATTCCTAACAGGCCATGACTAAACTTAAATATTGCTCACTTTGGCTAAAACTAGCAATATACTCCTCATGCTGTTAACATGGACTACCTATCTCGTACTGTAGTGTGTATGATGGAGCCATTTTATGTAAAGATATTTCAGGCCGATCCAGACCCACGGCATCGCCTCCATGGTGTAGTAGACGATGAGAGTTCTACGGATATACAACAGTCCTTTATTACTAATATGAGCGACATTTCGGTGCAGCTACTAACACCATTATCAAGCAAGTGATCGTTTCGTTGAATCTACTATTACCGATATCAAGCAAGTGATCACTTGCTTTAAAATATGCTTTCGAAAACAGAACCCTTTCACAATTTCAGCGACTGGGAAGAATAACGCCTGTCCACGATGACGAACGTCAAAGACGATTTTTTAAGAACTGGCATCAATATCCATATATATTAGAATCGCTTCCGGGGCGAATGCTCACAAGGTCAAGCAGTTTTACCCGGCATATAAAATGGAACACAAACAGTTATTATTAATATAAAAACAGTTTTATAGGTGATAATACTAGAATATTTAATGATTTGGTGAATCATTGTGATATTAGTCATATTCGGGGTTTCTTCTTACTATGGACTTACACGTGGCGGCAGGTAAGATCGCTTGGCGATTATTCCCCTCGAATTAGCAGTCTTCCACCTGTATACAATAAAGATTTATTTAGTCCATTACGCTGAGAGCTTTTTCACTGTCCCTCCTCAATTCGGACATTTGACATGTTTTTTCGTTGCAATGTTCACTTTTAAAGTACATGTAGTGTACGTGGCATAACCCTATACTAACACAATGTTCAATGGAGTCCAATGTTTCTCCGACTGCAACATTACCGGAATATTGGTAGGAGTAGAAATAAACTACATGTAGAGTGCTAGGCCTACTTTTCCAACATTAAAAATAACAAGGATCACGAAGTACTTCACAGGTAGCACTTTTTGATGGCTGGCTTATCAAAGTATTTATGTTTATAAACGAACATAGATGCAGCGGCGACTTGAATTGAATAAAATTACCATGCAAAGGACCCGTGAAGATCTGGGGTAGAATAGGTCTTCAGCAACCCGTGCTTGCCACAAAAGGCGACTATGCTTGTCGTTAGAGGCGACTAACGGGATCGGGTGGTCAGGCTCGCTGACTTGGTTGACACATGTCATCGGTTCCCATATGCGCAGATCGATGCTCATACTGTTGATCAGTGGATTGTCTGGTTCAGACTCGATTATTACAGACCGCCGCCATATAGCTGGAATATTGTTGAGTGCGGCGTAAAACTAAACTCACTCACCCATGCAAAGTGAATGTGAAAAGTAAGTAAGAAAAGTAAGGAGTAATGAGGCAAATGTTTATTATACTAAACTTGTTATCTGAATACTTCATAATAATATCTGTATATCATGGTTGTGATTTAGGGGAGTAGATGACGCGGTAGGTGCTGGAGTGCTCTCCCGCCGTCCTGTCTCCGGCCTCTCTCGCCCAAGACTGGACCTCCCCCTTAGCAAACGCTAGAAACATGATGGAACCCATGACAGAAAAGTGCTGCACAGACGTAGAAGACATTCTGCCATTCTTCTGCCGTTTTCTGAACAAATAACAGGGAAAGGATTATAAACACAAACCTATTTTTCTTCAATATGTACCAAGTTTTAGATGTTTCTTCATAATCTCAGAGGCGATGGTAGCGTTATTGGTTAAACTAGGCTGGTTCTACTCCCCACATGGGTACAATGTGTGAAGGCCATTCCTGGCGTCCCTGGCCATGATATTGCAGGGGCATTGCAGAAGGCGACGTAAACCATACTCATCCATGATTTCATGTATGTTAAAACTCATACAATGTGACTAATACGTATGCTCTCTGAGGACAATATGGCCTACCAAAGAAGAGAAAGCATAAAGTAGTCAACCACGCGCCACCCCCAACCTTATACGTTTATAAGCAGGGGCAGAGCCAGGATTTTGGTTGGGGTGCGGAAGTGGGGTTGCACATAGATTGTTCAAAGTTTAGGGGGAAATGCTCCTCTGGGCAAATGTCCGGGAGATGGGGGCGGGGGCCGATGGATCCGCCCCTTATAAGACGCAATACCAAGTTCTTAAAAGTGACCATTATGATTTGATGTGTATAAAGTGACACTATTGCGAACATGTACTGTAACGCTGTGTTAAAACGGAAGATATGTATGACTTACATTTGGAGTTAACGTCCCTGCCACGAGCGGAGCAACCATTCCAGGGACTGTAGCCACAGTGTTCGTTATGCCATACAATACACCTGCGTGTCTGAAACAGTATCATACACATGTACAGTGTTGCAATTAAGCGCCTGTCCGTGACAGGTAGTTGTCGTGTCGGGCCAGTAGTTTCATGTTTGTATGGTCCTAATGATCTACAGGAATTGTCCGTGTCCGCTTTAGCTGCGGCCTTTTTTAAATGATCCCCTGGGCCCTGTTTCACAAAACTCTTGTTGCCTAAGATCTCGTTACTTTCCTCGTAGCATTCCTACCTCCTACACTCAGGTATGAATCTCCCGAAACCTTCAGCCAGACCACAGGGCTGGTTAGATGTAAAACTTGCCAGCCCTGACCAAACCTTACCTGCCGACAAAATATCTTCATATACATGTCTAAATTTTAACTCGACCGTCGGGAAGGTGAATTTGAGAATCGGTTAGTCCGTGTTGAAAATAACGCGTCCTGGGTGGTCGGGCAGGCGGGTACTTCGAACGTTGCTATACTGTAACATTGACTTACGATAGTCGTAGCGATACGAGAGCTTTGTGACACGGGGCCCTGGAGAGTGTGTGAGTGTCTGCAGCTTCTGAACTCTCCGGGTAGTGGTGGTTGTCTGACAGTGTCCCAAGCACCGTCATGTGGCTTTGTGTATTCTGTGAGGTACTTTTAAGGGCCCTTTGTTAGTTCCCATTGAACTTATTAATGTCGTTAGAGGCATTGGTCAGCATTGGCTATTATTTGACAACGTGTCATTTTTATTACCTGATGCTGCAATCATATACTCAGTATTCCAGAAAATTCAACGGCGGGATGTTTTTATTTAATCTCGGTATGACAACATAGTGATTGTTAACGTGCAGCGTTCCTCGTCGCTGGGGACGACGACATGAAATAAACTGGATCTAACCACGCGTTCAGTTTCTCTCACAGTAAGCACAGGTTAACGATGAACCCTTCTGATCTGTAATCATTCAATTTCATGTTTAATTTTATTTACCTGCGGTGTTGATTTTAACGTGTACCAACCTGGGAGCGATGTCAACATGGTTAACTGGAAACCCAGCTCGGGTGACTCCGGTACCACCGACAGCAAAGCACAACAGCACGACGGCGATATGGCGGAACTCACACGTCACGAAGCTGGCACCAATAAGGAAGGATCCGATAGTCGAAAATGCTGAAATGTTTAATGTACATCGGTTTCCTAGGTCACATTACGTGTATAGTACACTGTAAATGTGTAAACAGTTGATGCCCGACAGGAGTAATGCTGTGTGGGTCAGGTAGTTGATGCCTGACAGGAGTAATGCGGTGTGGGTCAGGCAGTTGATGCCTGACAGGAGTAATGCTGTGTGGGTCAGCCAATAAGTGCGTACTATTTGCATGCAAATTCTGTGAATGAAGGACCCTATTAAAAGCACACTACTTTCATTTTCGCGGACGACCTGTGAAGATCCGGGGTAGAATAGGTTTTCAGCAACCCATGCTAGCCACAAAGGCCCCTATGCTGTCGTAAGAGGCGACTAACGGGATCGGGTGGTCAGGCTCGCTGACTTGGTTGACACATGTCATCGTATCCTAATTGCGCAGATCGATGTTTATGCTGTTGATCACTGGATTGAGTGGTCCAGACTTGATTGTTTACAGGTTGCCGCCATATAGCTGGAATATTGTTGAGTGCGGCGTAAAACTAAACTCACTCACTCACTCAGTTTCGCGAACACCTGGTGTCATCACTGAGTTTTCCTTTCCTACAAACTTCACAGCTATTTTGCCTAAAGGCTATATGGAATTTTTCGAAGACTGGATATTGTCTGGCATCAATGTTTATGTTTTACCTTCATGACTTAGTGGATGTTAGTGAATAACATTTTAAGGAATGACCCCGACTGGATCTAAATCACACTAAATTGTCTGCGATAGGACACATAAAAGTAAATATGATACTGTGAGTAATGAAAACAACATTAACAAAATCTTGGCTTAATTGATGAGAAGCAATTAGACACCACCTCCATCTCTTATGGGATACACGGGGCGGTGGGGTAGTCTAGTGGTTAAAGCGTTGTCTCGTCACGCCGAAGACCCGGGTTCGAATCCCAACATGGGTACAATGAGTGAAGCCCATTTCTGGTGTCCCACGCCGTGATGTTGCTGGAATATTGCTAAAAGCGGCGTAAAACCAAACTCAGTCAGTATGGGATACACGGACTGTGGGGTAGCCAAGTGATTGAAGCGTTCGCTCGCCTTGCCGAAGACCTGGGTTCGATTTCTCATATTGGGTACAATGTGTGAAGCCCATTTCCCGTGTCTTGCCGGAATAATGCAAGATACGGGATATACCAAACGATGTATTCTGGACCCCTTCACCCATCAAAATATTTTCGGGGAGCTCTAGGTATTATGTCACGATATGGCCGAAATACTGCCGATGTGACTAAAATTCCTAATTCACTCACTCACTCTAGGTATTAGAATATGTCCAGTTCACTACTACTTGTATTACGACATAATCACAAATGGTCACTCACCCACCACAACCATGATCTTTCTCACTGTAACTGTAGCCAGACCTACTCTTGACCGCAGGCTATCTGCTACGTGGCCTGCTATAATGCTGGTGACGGCAGCGCACAGGTAGGGTACAGCCGACAGACTTCCATTCTGAGGGAAAGAGTCACGTAATTAGGGTCCTTTCCACGCTTGTTTTCACCATGGTTCTTGATTTGCAACACAAAATTATCTTAGATCCTGACGACACCGGCATTTTACTGCTTGCTTAAATGTTTATCCTTTGTTTGTCTACTTCTGGACATTTGTGTCTCTATCTACTTGGACCTAAGGACGTACCTTACAACACATTTGTTTTCATTATACTTCTTAATTAAACAACATTGCCCTATTGTTTCCTAACACTTGCGTGCAAGAACATATTGCTACCTGTTTCTGTTTATCCTCTCCTGCATCTGGACAAGGAAAACTAAGCTCAACACATGCAATCAAATGCAATATCCTACTTTTACTAGATTGAACCATACGCCACCGTTTAATTTCGAGCAAACAACTGACTTGTCTTTGCATGTGTTTGTGACGAATGCAACCATTGTAACAGGATACGCTTCACTTTTGGCGAACATCTGGTGTCATCGCTGCTTGACAGTAGTTTATAAACACATGCTCACGATACTGACATATTCGTACAAATGACTCAACTCTAAGCCGAGATTTCTTATGATTATATAGACGGTTTTGTCAATGTCAAGTTACAAGGTCGATGTCGCAAAAATCGGAAACCACGGATTATATTCAGAGATTCTATACATATAATCTAACAAGGGACTAAACTCTGCAATTTGACGTTCGTGTCTCCTTCAAGAAGAGAAATAAAATACCTGTTTAATGTCAAAGTTGAGCACTTCCTTCATAAATGTTGGCAGTCCCGTTAACAGTGTGTAGTTGGACCAGTTGTGGCATACGTGCGTCACAACAATTGCCCAAACAGGGGCGGAAGTAAATATGGCACGCCAGGGTGTGGATGTGTTCTGAAAAATTTATACAAAATTGTTCTGAAAATTCTACACTTAAGGTTAAAAAATCCCGTAGAATTGAATTTTGTTTCAAATGTATGTCGAAATGATATATTATAATAGTATCATCTCACAAATAACATGTCTGGTGAAAGTATTGAAAGAAAGAATTCCAAATCATTTGAAAACTGTCCGGAATACTCAGATCCGGATTGAAGACGTGCATGATTAATAATGAAACAAAAAGTGTACTGTGACGAGTTAAGTACAAAATATTCTCTAGAACTTGACACTCTCGTACAAATTTTGAACCTTAATAATATACATATTTTAATGGCAATAAATCACTTGCCTCTCTTAATATCCATCTTAGATGTTAAAAATTAAATGTTTTAGAAAAAAATAAGTTATTAGACTCTATATTAAGGAATTTATGTTGAATAACATATTGTATATTAAGTTAATATTCAAACACTCTGATTCCCAATTGTGCAGATCGATGCTCATGCTGTTGATCACTGGATTGTCTGGTCGATTATTTCGGACCGCCTCCATATAGCTGGATATTGCTGAGTGCGGCGTAAAACTAAACTTACTCACTCACTCACTCAAAACACTCTGTAGTAGGCCACACATTCTTATTACTTGGTTTATGGATCCGCCGACCGTAATTTTTGATAAAGTGGAAAAAAATAAAAATAAAATCCAAATGAATAATGTAAATCTACTTTACTGAAATCGACTTTCTGTAGCGAATTTAGCATTGTTGCAAATCCTATTATAATGGGAAATGAGAACACCTGAATGGCTGATGGCATATTCTATCTTACCTGGGGTGAAAGCCACTTAGGGGCAAAAAATCTGAAATAGCATGTTTTTTACCACCTACCGGCACGAATATAGCAGTTAAAAATTCGTTAACCAAGTAATAAAACAGTGTTGCCGTAAGAACAAAATATTTTACTCCAGTCACTCATGCTTGGCACTCCTATGCTATCATATATGGCTTATAAGCTTAGATTTGATGCATTTCTTGATAAAGCAACCACGTGACAAAGTCAGAACAGTTACCCCGCTGTACAGAGCGACTATGTTGTACCATGGTTGATGTCTTTGCTTCCGGGGGCGGTGGGGTAGCCTAGTGGTTAAAGCGTTGGCTCGTCACGCCGAAGACCCGGGTTCGAATCCCCACAAGGGTACAAGTGTGAAGCCCATTTCTGGTGTTCCCCGCCGTGATGTTGCTGGAATATGGCTAAAAGCGGCGTAAAACCAAATTCAGTCAGTCAGTCAGTCCTTGCTTCTGACAGTCGGACGCAGCTGAAATCTTCAGGCTAGCTATTATCGAAGCGTTCGTAGCCCTACGAACTTCTTAAGCCCATTCTTAACACATTGGCTACGATCAAAGATAAGAATTCTTAAGGCTATGAACGTTTCGAGAATCAGGGACGTATTGTCTGGTCCGGATTCGATCATTTACAAGAGGACGTTATATACTGAGAGAACAAAATAAGGGATCGCATAAAATTTCACATCTTAAGCACGTCAAACATAACAGTCTTGACTCGTTGTTTTCAGTTTAAATAAAGAAAGTCAGTATCGAGTATGTCCCTCACGTGCTCTCGCAACTGTCTGGCAACGTCTGTGCATACTTCCAATCAAGTAAGATATCATTCTCAAAGATATATGCGACCCTTTATTTTTCCTTCAGTATTTATCTGTGGTGCAACCGATTAGGACGTAAAGCATCTAACAAACATAGCCTTACCTGCACGTTTGTTTTGTAACCGATCTCTGTTTCAATGTATTCCAGCTCGGCGTTTGATATACGTGAACTGTCTCTCGGAGAGTCTGCCGTCAACAGAAACCACAAGACAACCCACACGAGGGTTCCAGCACCTGCAAGGGGCCACAGGAGAGAACGTTTGCGGCATGGTGTGAAGGTATTGTTTGCACTTACTTAACCATTTCTCATCGATGGAGACTGAAAGTCTTCACAATAACTTTGTATCAATGTACTACCCAAAATGATATAGTACTTTACAAGAAATATTCAAATAAATGAAGGTCCTCTGTGCCTTCTCGGGAACAAACGATGCATTTTGCTGTAGACTTTAACATACAAGTGTAATATGAATGCAGAGATCAGAGAAGCAATTTGACGTTTTACTATTGTGTGGCATCATCGTTGCATTGTTTATTGATGATCTTTCAATCATCATTCTATATCAGAAAATATGAATGTTCAACAAATAGTTCGACGGGTACCAATAGTATACCCGCAACAATATTAATACATGAATTATTTTTTAAATAATATGTGACTAATCGTGGACGATTCTTTTAAATTTGAGAAAAATGTATTTCAGTACCAAGATGAGAAAATACTCTGACTTGTGGATAAGGCGAATTCAGATTTTACTCTTGTCCCTACCGAGTATTGTTTCGGTCGAGATAATCTGCAATGAAGCGCTTCACTGGCGAATGGATAACCTAGTGGGTAAAGCGTTTGTTCGTCACGCCGAGGACCCGGGTTCGATTCCAAAGTCAATCAAGCAATCAATCAATCAGAGCTTCAAGGCTTTTCAAAATATCGTACCGTATCTTGCAGGATTCGGTGATAATTTATTTTTACATGAGAAACCACTCTGGTATCAGCGACACAGTCGTTCTTCTTTTCACTCACCAAACACGTAAAATATTGAGCCCCATCCGTTGTCAAATCCATATGCACACAGGTATCCCGATAGAGCAAAACCGGCTATCGTTCCCATCGCAGGCCCTGTGGAGAAAGGTAATATGGTGACGTACCAAACATACATAAATATAATTTTTAAACAAATACTGGGAAAAAGCAGGTCATACGGATGTCAATATGATTAGTGCATGAATGTCCGCTGTCTACATGTTTTGTACAGGGGTGGCAGGGTTGCCGATTGGTTGACGCATTCGCTCGTCACGCCGAAGACCAGAGTTCCATTCCTCACATGGGTACACTATACAGAGGACATTTCCAAATTTATCACAGTCAGTAGTGAACTGATGTCCGATTGTGACTTTCAGGTGAAGAATTGCCCTGCCTTTCCATGTATTTGTGCCGATGCCAACGGCAGTAGCAGGATATGCTCGGCTTTTTACTTGAGAGTGATGATTAATATACTCATTTATGTGATACAGCCACTCGCATACGTAAGCTCGCATTTAGGTAAAACCATCCCAGGTTACACCCATTTCACCTGACCTGATTTGCAGAATTATATGTTTAAAATCTGGAACAGTAAGAGGGGTTTGGATAGGTAAGGTTAAACTACAAAATGTCCACGTACCTGCCATGCAGAATGTTATCAACTTGCTTCTCTCCAGAGGAGGGGCCCAGCGGCCCCACATTGACTGCATGTTGGGGAAGGTGACCCCCTGTAAATAAACCAGATCTTGTGAGATACCAATAATCTTCCTGTTAAATGTACATGCTGGATCATATAGCAATGTGGTGCTCTTGTGTAGCCATTGGTTAAAGCATTCGCTCGTAACTTCGAAGGCCAGGGATCGATGCCGCACATGGGTACAGCATGTGAAGCATATTTCTGTTATTGTTGGATTATTGCTAAAAGCGGCGAAAAACAATATTCACTCACTTTATCGACATAAGGAAGCGACATACATTTAAATGCGCCATGCCATATGGCATTAACAGATTGGTGTTACAAACAGGTGGTTTTCGTTCATCCTTCGCTTCAGATAAATATATGTATTTCAGTATTTTACATTTTTTCAGAAATAAGCACGAAGTACCCAGATACATGGGTAAGAACATATTATTTCGCAGAACGTTAATGCACACGCACACACACTCGCACACGCACATGTAAATGGTTTAGTACTCGAAACCTACCGCCGCCAGCCCAACCAGGAAGCGAAGCACATACACGAGGGCCAGGCTGGTCCTCGCTGCAACAGGGGTTAAGATTGTGAACAACCCAAGTAGGAAGAAGGCAAGCCCCCAAACCCTCCTGCCTCCGTATCGCCCAGCCAGCCACCCTCCGGGAATTTGCATGATGATATACCCGTAAAAATACATAGCCAGGACCCGTGATCGGGTGGGTTTGTCCCAGTCAAATTCTTCTCTCTGCAAGCACACAAACAAGAAAAATGATCATTGACCATGCATTCCATGTGTCCAAGAAATATCGGTTCGGTTTTATCGGGCGATCGGAACTGGTTGTTTGTTTGTTTGTTTGTTTTTGTTGTGTGTTGTTGTTTTTATCAGCGTTTCATATTTACATCGCGGCTAGGGTAGAGGAGTGGGTGGGGCAGGGAGCACCATAAATTGTCTCCCATGTTGTTGGGATTTGAGACTTGGCTTACCCCTTGAGAGGCTTGTGAAAGGTTAGCGCAAAATTCTTTTTGTCGATTTATGTGATATAGGCTTGTAAACAGAGCATTTAAATGAAATGTTGGCACATATTTAGAAGCCAGAATTTAGAATTCTCAACGGAATGAAGGCATGTATACTTCATTGGCACATATCAATTGCTTACTAGTATATTGCAACAAAACGGTAACCTTGAATTATGTGCCATCAATAACATAATTGGTATTTGCAAGTCTCGTTTTACCGTGGCTGTTCTAGAAATTGATGTGTCCTGCCTTGCGCATGTGTCGTCTTCAATATGGTTCTCCGGAAGTGCTTGATTCGGCCATGACACGTCGTCCCCAAGCCGTGTTTGATTCAACGACAGACTCCCATTTCCTGATCTGACCATACAGATGATAGCAACACTCATGTTGACTCGTGTCGCGTACAGGAAGAACATTCCAAAGAAGCTGATGTACGCCAGGATCCATCTTCTTGAGCAGATACATGGCACTGAAACATTTAAAATACCATGAACTGAAGACAGTTTTGGTCCACAAGATGTGAAGGAACAGTTTCTAGATACATGAATGACCATTAGACTTGTTTCGTTTGCCCTCGTACACTTGAGGAAAACAATTATTAAACAATTAGGGGTACAATGGGTCTAAAATACTCATTTAGAGGCCTTGGTTGAAGCACTTTGGGGTTTTTTTTACATTGGATTGTTTTTCTTGTATATTAAAATAGTGTGGTAATTTATGGTGAAAGGGGTTTTCTTGGATCACGAATGTGATCACAGTTGTATTTCTTGAAGTTGAAAAAAATCACTCTTCATTTTTACCATGCTTGTGCTCTTGAACATGCCAAAAAGAAACCTGTAAGAAAGTGTAACAAAGATATGGACAAGTTATTTCATCATGTCTGACCATTTGAAAATCCGATTATCATTTAACCCTCCTCAGTTACTTGTAGGTTCGAATGCCTAATATTTTATAAAGAAGTCAAAACTGTACAATGTTTGGGGGTTTCATTTACCTTAGTGATTGGACCCCCCTGATGGACGGATTCGGACGCAGATTTGACGCCTAGTTTTAATTGTTCTCATCACTGTCGTAGTTAAGGGTATCGGGTGGTCATGTTTGATCTTAAATAACGAATTATGTCGAATAGATCCTACGATGCCACACAATTAGCAACGTCACTGATCTTGACCGCCCGAACCATACGTCGCGCCTCCCGTTGGACAAGAGTGGTATTTAGAATAATATGTTTGGGGGTTTGTTGTACTCTTACTGTCACCAAGAGACGTGTGTGTATGTGGGTGCGCGCGCGTTCGTAGGTTTGTGTATTTTTATTTACTTTCATCTTTCATTTTTCATTTTTTTTTTTGGGGGGGGGGATTTGATTTGATTTTTTTGGTGTGTGTGTGGGTGAGGTGGTGGTGGTGGTTGTTTTTCTTCTGTTTGGGGGTGTTTGTTGTTGGTGCTTGAATTTGGGGTAGTGGGTATCCATATTGAAAGGACGAATATTTGACACGATAATAAAGGGTTATTGCATCAGCGCTGGCTTAAAAATCACCTTACATGATGGCTGATGCTCCTATAGTTGGCGTCACTGGCGGAACGCCGTCCTGGTATACATCATCACAAAGTATTTCATGCACATATGTTTATTATATAGTCGCAATTGTACATTTGACTCCGCTTTCAGCCCATATTACTATGAACTTTGTCGGTTTTCATACTGGACATAATTGCCAGGTCCTCGTTGATGCTGACAACATCAACGTGCTACACAACACGTCATTACTTTTCATTGTTATAATCCAAACATTTGTGTAAACTCTTGTGCATGTTTCCCAACTGTGTAGACTGATGGTCAAGTGTTGATCACTGGCCATGGATTGTCTGGTCAGACTCGATTATTTACATACCGCCGCCATATGACTGGAATATTTTTTAGTGCCGCGTCAAACACTAAACGAACAAACCCCTGTCAATGATACTAGGCAACATCATATCATACAGATTGTACAACTGGCCAAATTAAAACCGCCAGGTAAAGTCCGTTTGATTTCATTTGAGACCGATGAATTGTTCACAAACTCTAATAATTGCAGGTGTGCGAGTTGCACGTGTGAAATCGAAATTTCACTACACACACTTGTTCATTACGTGGCGACCGCCTCCGTGGTGTAGTGGTTAGAGCGTCCGCCCGGAGAGCGGAAGGTCGCGGGTTCGATCCCTGATCGCGTCATACCAAAAGACGTTCAAATATGGTACTTGTTGGTCCCTGCCTGGCGCTCGGCATTAATGCGTATAACAAGGACTGGTCGGCTCGGAGTCAGTATAATGTGTCTGAGTGGGGTATTCATGCTTCACTGCGGCGTGGTATCTCAGTGGGCTAGCACTATAAAACCAGCTTAAGTCTGGGCTAGTACCAGCAGCCGCACATACACATACACACGCATGCACGTCGTCATATGAGCGAAATATTCTCAAGCACGACGTTAAACCCAATTTCACCTCACCTCACCTCATTACGTGGCTGTTCTACCAGCAAGTGGTCCCCCCTCGTAAAAAAATAGCGAAATGATCGTATGTAAAACAACTTTTTTTATTCGGGTGTCAAAATTATGACACAAATCATCGGTATTGGTATGTCGTTTTCATGTGACTGTGCAGAATTTGGTTTTGTTGCAATTATTAGATTTTGTTTAAGTGAGCAATTCATAGGTCTCAAATGAAATCAAACGGATTGAACTCAACAATTAAAAGACAGCACTTACCCCCTCTGTACGCCTCCGTTCTGTTCATCTTAAATAATATCGTGAAGCCGTTCAAGCAATGTTGTGACACTTATGACCCAAGCTTCCCCTACTTTGGACTAAAGGGTAATTATGCCTAGACACGCGTACGTATAGTGCTGAATTCCGCTGACTGTTCTATCACTTCATACCTGTTAAGTAGGGTAGGGGATGTGAATATTATTAAAGGGTCCTATGCAGCAAAAAGTAATCCTTGTAACGTATATCAAACATTGTTTCAAAGTAATATGCACGACTAATGTCTATACGTTTATACAATGTTGACAATGGCATTGTGTAATCAGTGTTTATACACTTTCCATAATCGTAAATATTTACGACAAATCCCACATCCTCAACGATTTCGACTATATCGTGAGAATGTATTTAGGAATCACTATCAAACAGTGACGATACCAGGTGTTTGCACAAAGGTTAGCGGATCCTGCCCCACCGAAAGCACCTGTCACACACAACTGCCACGGCTAGTCAATTGTTAAAAAACACGAAAACGTAAAATACAAGTCAAAAGAGGGAATTGCATCGCACATCATTTTTTGCTCTGATGCGTCAATTCTGGAAATACCTTCCACATGTCTTCCATAAAATCTTTACTGAGTCCTTGAATGTAGTGGCCCGTGATCCGGCGTAGAATAGGTCTTCAGCAACTTGTCGTAAGAGGGGACTAACGGGATCGGGTGGTCAGGCTCGCTGACTTGGTTGACACATGTCATCGGTTCCCAATATCGCAGATCGATGCTCATGCTGTTGGTCACCGGATTGTCTGGTCCAGACTCGATTATTTACAGACCGCCGCCATACAGCTGGAATATTGTTTAGCGCGGCGTCAAACTAAACGAACAAACCCTGTCAATGATACTAGGCAACATCATATCATACAGATTGTACAAACTGGCCAAATTAAACCGCCAGGTAAAGTCCGTTTGATTTCATTTGAGACCGATGAATTGTTCACAAACTCTAATAATTGCAGGTGTGCGAGTTGCACGTGTGAAATCGAAATTTCACTACACACACTTGTTCATTACGTGGCGACCGCCTCCGTGGTGTAGTGGTTAGAGCGTCCGCCCGGAGAGCGGAAGGTCGCGGGTTCGATCCCTGATCGCGTCATACCAAAAGACGTTCAAATATGGTACTTGTTGGTCCCTGCCTGGCGCTCGGCATTAATGCGTATAACAAGGACTGGTCGGCTCGGAGTCAGTATAATGTGTCTGAGTGGGGTATTCATGCTTCACTGCGGCGTGGTATCTCAGTGGGCTAGCACTATAAAACCAGCTTAAGTCTGGGCTAGTACCAGCAGCCGCACATACACATACACGCATGCACGTCGTCATATGAGCGAAATATTCTCAAGCACGACGTTAAACCCAATTTCACCTCACCTCACCTCATTACGTGGCTGTTCTACCAGCAAGTGGTCCCCCCTCGTAAAAAAATAGCGAAATGATCGTATGTAAAACAACTTTTTTTATTCGGGTGTCAAAATTATGACACAAATCATCGGTATTGGTATGTCGTTTTCATGTGACTGTGCAGAATTTGGTTTTGTTGCAATTATTAGATTTTGTTTAAGTGAGCAATTCATAGGTCTCAAATGAAATCAAACGGATTGAACTCAACAATTAAAAGACAGCACTTACCCCCTCTGTACGCCTCCGTTCTGTTCATCTTAAATAATATCGTGAAGACGTTCAAGCAATGTTGTGACACTTATGACCCAAGCTTCCCCTACTTTGGACTAAAGGGTAATTATGCCTAGACACGCGTACGTATAGTGCTGAATTCTGCTGACTGTTCTATCACTTCATACCTGTTAAGTAGGGTAGGGGATGTGAATATTATTAAAAGGTCCTATGCACCAAAAAGTAATCCTTGTAACGTATATCAAACATTGTTTCAAAAGTAATATGCACACGACTAATGTCTATACGTTTATACAATGTTGACAATGGCATTGTGTAATCAGTGTTTATACACTTTCCATAATCGTAAATATTTACGACAAATCCCACATCCTCAACGATTTCGACTATATCGTGAGAATGTATTTAGGAATCACTATCAAACAGTGACGATACCAGGTGTTTGCACAAAGGTTAGCGGATCCTGCCCCACCGAAAGCACCTGTCACACACAACTGCCACGGCTAGTCAATTGTTAAAAAACACGAAAACGTAAAATACAAGTCAAAAGAGGGAATTGCATCGCACATCATTTTTTGCTCTGATGCGTCAATTCTGGAAATACCTTCCACATGTCTTCCATAAAATCTTTACTGAGTCCTTGAATGTAGTGGCCCGTGATCCGGCGTAGAATAGGTCTTCAGCAACTTGTCGTAAGAGGGGACTAACGGGATCGGGTGGTCAGGCTCGCTGACTTGGTTGACACATGTCATCGGTTCCCAATATCGCAGATCGATGCTCATGCTGTTGGTCACCGGGTTGTCTGGTCCATACTCGATTATTTACAGACCGCCGCCATACAGCTGGAATATTGTTGAGCGCGGCGTAAAACTAAACTCACTCACTCCAACAACTTCTGAGCATGATTCGTATGGCGCTCTTTAAAACTTTGGTAAAAAGGGCATGCTCGATTGTTCCTCAAAAGTTCTGAATGGTAAACACCTGTACATAACTGTTGCAATATTGTACAACATAAAATCACCTTTTCTTGTTGA